CTCTCTCTCTCTCTCTCTCTCTCTCTCTCTCTCTCTCTCTCTCTCTCTCTCTCTCTCTCCCTCTTTCACTCTCTCTTTATAAAAAAGAGAAATATTGGAACTCCCACGAGGCTCTCTGTTCAATGAATCCAGTGAGTGATCAGTACTATGCTTGCTGATAACGACAATAATTAAAGGCATAAATTGGTCCTTTCTCTACAATATATCAGAGAATTTATCTAAAAAGGATGACAGCCATGAATTTTACAAACCTATTGGATTCTTCATCTGAACTGACTCAATGTACTTATGCTAAGCCAGAAATCCCCACAAGTCAGCCTCAACAGAAATGTATTATTTCATTAAAAATAACATGACATAAGGTCAGCAACCTCATGAAAAGAAAACTGGGTGGCTGGAAGATGTATGAATAACACATTTTAAATTAAATATTCTCTGTGTCTTTTGGATTTTGAATGATATGGAGGAGGAGGCTTAGTGTCCTTGAAACATAAAAATCTTAATCTACTTAATGAGAGAAGTGTTAGGGAATTATGTTGGTCAAATTCCATTGTGTTCATGTACAAATATGAAACAACAATTCCCATAATGATGTACAACTATAATGCACCAAAGAAAAATGTGGAAAGAGAATAAAACAGGACTGATTTACCTTTTTAGAGACACAATAGAAGTATAATCTTCACTTCTCCTTTCTGAATAAAACCACAGACAGTGGAATTGTTCAGCTGGACTGATAGACAATATAAATTTGTTTCAAGTCATGGTGGGAGACTGATTGTTTTGGAAACTCCTAGAAAAGAAATTCTAGTGGGAAATATCTAGAAAATTGTCTCTTTCATGTATAAAGCAAATTCCTCTGTATTCCAGTTGGACAAATAAATTCTATGGCTGAAACTGAATTGCTGCTGGAAGCTCAGTCAGTTCTCTTTCAGTCTACTTAAACATGTGGATGATCTCGATTTTCTTGTTGCCCATCTGAATCTGTCTCCCACTACTCACCATGAACAGTAACCAACAGAGCAGCGACCAAGGTCATTTGGAACAGAATTGGATCAGAGACTCTCCGAAGATTACAGAAGGCCCAGGTTGCCATTTCCCTCTTTCTATGATGGGTTCCACTTGGTGGTCTTGGGGGGCACATGGCCTGCCGCTTCTCTGGCATTTTTTTCTGCTGAAAGAATTCAATTTAATAAGTACTCATTAAATTCCTACTTGTCATAAAGCAGTAGAATAAATACCATGGGATCCCTGTCTTCAAGGAAATTGCAGCCTATATTGGAAGAAAAAAGAGCTTAAACATCATACCAAGACAAGACAGTGGGGGATGGCCTGTGCAGAAGAATCTTCTTAGAAGACAGATGAATTGCAAGTTGAGAGAGAAAGAGGGATTTAGAGGGGGCGGGGTCACATCTGAGCTAGGTCTGCTATGAAGTTAGAGGATAAATGCAGGTCATACTAGGAGAATAGCAGATAATTCTTCTGTTTGGGATGTTTGTAGTGTCTGTGATAAGGGGATAGGAGGGGGAAACTTTTAGCTATGTCTGAAGGGGCTGTGAGAGTCAAATTTAAGAATTCATAGATTTTACTCTTTGGGGAATAAAGAGTCATTGTTTTTCATTTTTGTTTTAGTTTTTGATTTGTGCATTTGTTTTAAGCTAAGGTGTAACACAATTGTGTGGTTTAAGATCATTATGGCAGAAGGAGACAGAAAAGAAACAGAGAGGTTGATTAAGATGATATTGCAAACTACCAGCTGAGCCATGCATATGATCTGAACAAAGAAATAGCACCAGAGTCTCAGCACTCTCTTGTGTTTATAATTCATACTAAGCTCATGGCCATTTAAGAAGAGGGAGTTCAGCTGGATGTAGTGGTATATGCCTATAATACTAGCTACTCAGGAGGCTGAGGCAGGAGAATTGCAAGTTCAAAACCAGCCTGGGCAACTTAAATAAACCCTATCTCACAAAGAAAAAGTAAACAGGACTAGGGATGTAGCTCAGTGGTAGAGATCCTCAGAGTTCAATCCCTAGTATTGAAAGAAAAGGGGCTTCCCTCAATATTTCTCTCGAAGATGTTTCTCTCCCACATTATGGGGGTGGTAGTAGTTCATAGTGGGTCCTTCACACAATGTAAAGGGACCAAGATTCTGCATGGAGTAGACACCTGGAAACTAAAACTCAGTTGTGAAGTCACTCCTTCACCTGTTTTAAGGCATGGGCACACATTCTATCCTATGAGCTTTATAGGCAGCCACCAGGACATCTGTCAATGCATGGATACACCTACTGAAGAATTTACCTGATGAATTTGTTGGCTGAAATATGCTTGCAGAATTTATACTACATGAATCCATGTGGTCTAATGAGGTTGGGAAGAGTCTCTCCTTCTTTCTCTGGCTCGTACTCTCTCGCTACCTCCATTCCCCGCTCTCATTCCCTAGCAGCCCCTCCCCGTCTCTAGTCTCTCTTCTCTCTGCCCTTGCAATCTGCTGAAGCTCAAGACAGTAGAGAGAAAGGCAAGTTGCCTAACATGAAAGTTATCCCACTAAATCATCTGTGAAATTTACAAAATATGATAAGTTTCTCCTACCCAATAAATACTTATATGAGCTATGAAGCCAATAATTTTCTTTAAATTTGATACGTCAGTAGATTTGATATCGTATTGAATTTCCATGAAACTGATGATATTAAAAATACAGATGTGTTGACAAAAGAATTTGATGATGAAAAGTCAAAAGGATAATATAAAGTGAAAATTTCCCATATGAATTATTGCAGTTGTTATATTCATGAGAAAAATATATATGTGGACTATCTTCAGAGAAAATATTTATGACTACAGTTATAGCTTAAATCCTTAGCTTTAAGAAATTGAACTCAGATAGCTAAAATGTTGCAAAAATATTCATTAGCTGTATTTAAAAAGAATATCTTTGTAATCATTAAATGTATTCTAAATATTTCCTAAGCAATGTTATGTGAAATGAAATTTTGAGGGCTGGGGATGTGGCTCAAGCGGTAGCGCGCTCGCCTGGTATGAATTCTCTCTCTCTCTCTCTCTCTCTCTCTCTCTCTCTCTCTCTCTCTCTCCTCTCTCACTCTCTCTTTAAAAAAAAAAGAAATTTTGATATATTCAGCAAATTGGTTCCACTGAATCGAGCCTTTAGGAAGTAGTAGTCACTCAATCAGCTTTGGTGACTAACTTGTCAGTAGTTTGGACTGAGTCACTGGCTCCATCTGACCTGTTCTAGTCAACCAGGATTCTTGACTTTCCTACCTCCTACCCCTCCCTACATCACCCACCCTCTCTCTTTCCTCTTATTCTGCAAGTCCTTTCTCCAATGTCCCCTTGTTTTCCAGGTCAGCCTCCATGTACCAAGTACAGTTTTGTACTTGTCACTCTCCACTGACTTGGCTTGCAAGGAACATCTCAGGTCTATCATCCCCACTAGATTATAAATGCCTTAAGTCAGAGGGTGGCCATCTATTCATTGCTGCCCTACACAGTACCTAGCAATGTGGCACACAAAGTCAAATTGCTCAGTGTATGTTTGATTAATGCACACCCCAAAGTACCTAGTGCTGAAATATGTCTCAAAGAGAAATGATACTTGTCTTGATTTGGTTATGAGGCGTCCCCCCAAAGCTCCTATGTTAAAGCAGGAATGTTCAGAGTGAAATGATTGGATTGTGAGAGCTGTAACCTAATCGGTCCATCCTAGTTTGAATGCACTGACCTGGTGGTAACTATAGGCAGATTGAGGGTAGTTGAAAGAGGTGATCACTGGGGGTGTGCCCCGGAAGAGTCCATCTTCCCTCAACTTTCTCCTAAATGCTTCCTGACCACCATGAGCAGAGCAGCTTCCCTCTGCCACACTTTTCTGCCATAATGTTCTGCCTCACCTCAGACCAGAGCAATGGAGTCAGCCCACCACAGCCTGAATCTCTAAAACATTGAGCTAAAATTAACTTCTTTCCCTCTACGTTGTTCTTATTGGGTATTTTGGTCACCGTGGTAAAAAGCTAACATAATACTGTTTGATATCCACACTATTTATTTTATAATTTTGAGTTCATTTCAGGGGTTTTATATGATGGTTTGTTTGTTGGGACCAGGGATTGAATCAGAAGTGCTAACCCATGGAGGCATATTCCCAGCCCTTCTTTATTTTTTATTTTGAGGCAACACTAAGTTGCTTAGGGTCTCACTAAGTTGCTGAGGCTGGCTTTGAACTTGTGATCCTCCTGCCTCAGCCCCCTGAACTGCTGCATGTTCCAACATATCTGTCACACATCTGTATTTTAAAGAAAATTGACCCAAGAAATTTTATGCTAAGCCCTTTTACATCACTAACTTTAAGTCATCAAATCATCAACCAATTGTAATGGAGGGGCAATGAAAGAGAGAAAGAATAAACAAAAACTAATTCTCCTCCCTCCATGGGTTATGAAACAGACGCACAGACATGACACCATGATGAGGAAGTTATTTCACTCCCTTTATCTCAGTCTCACTCTGAGGCCACAGCCACAGAGCTAGGGACAAGGAGGGCAGTGTTCCCAGTACCTTGGGACTGTATCTGGATTCAGACCCAGATGCTGTGAGTTTAAATTCTGGTTCCACCATGTAGGAACCAAGTGCCTGTGGGTAAGACATTGAGCCCCTCCACACCCATTTCCTCTGTTATGAGAATGATCGAAATGCACTCTACTGTCATGTGTAACTAATTAGAACAAATGAAAAACATGAGAGTAATAATCATACATGTCTTTAGGAATTTCTGAGAGGGACTTGATGGTGTTTGGGTGGCACATAGTAAACATTCGGAAGAGATGTTAGAATTGGTGTGGGATGTTACTCTGCCAAGAAGAAGAGTGCCTAGAATTCAAAAACATCATCTTCAGAATGATCTGAATAATGGATTGCATCACCAGGGGGAACTTTACACTCTAGTGCAGAGTGAAAGCCACCAACATGGGGACAGAAGCCCTCGGTCTGATATCCTCTGTGGCTCTTGGCACACTGAGACCCAGTGTGACACCCAGAGCAGAGAGACGCTCGTGTCCCAAGGGCTACCTTGAGCTTATTTCTGTCTTATTCTCAACCTTCTTCTGGGAGGAATTCACACACACCTATGACCCTCATCATCAGACATGAGTCACTTATAGACCTCTGGGCCCAAATGCTTCTACAGATATAAAAACGTACGAGCTCCTTAAATTTAATTATTAATAATTACCTTATTCTGCCCCATTTGAATCTTCTTACATGTAAGTTTTAAGTCATTCAGGCCTGTCTTCTTTATTCTGGTTGCAAATTAGTGAAATATCTGTGCTAAACCTTAAAACTATGTCTTTCCTAAGTTGGTAAAGAAATTTTAGCAAAGTTAGGAAGAAATATTTCCTCTTCCCCTGCAACTGCAGAAGAGCAGATAATATCTACATGGTAAAACTGACTTTGCAAATGTTATTTCCCACAAAAGTGTTTTCTAGACTTTAGAGATGGTTGTTCTGCTACTTGAAAGTAACCTTTAACTTTAGGAAATATGTACTTCTTACTAGTTACCTTAGCAAATTATTTTTTGCCTGGGATAATATTTAATTTCTCTTTCCCAAAAGTTACAAATATTTATGAGTTTTCTTTGTATATCCAGAAATACATAATTATACTTTCCTCTTCACCTGCAACCCTGAATGTAAACCCAGACTTGGGACCCTGTTAGATTTCTTATTTAAGCAAAAAAAAAAAACACCTTTTTAAAATTTAAGTCTCTATTATCAAAGTTCAGATTTTTCAACCACGTCATTTGTATCTCCTAGACACTTTGAATCCAACATATCTCAAACTAAATTTCCTGCTTTACCTCTGTTTTCTGTTTGGGCTGAAGTAACAAGATACCAGCCATCTCTCAGATGAGATCCCTGAGTCAGGCACATTATCTCTCGTCTTGTGCCAGCTTTGCATGTTCAGAATGACCGAGTCCTGTCAAAATGGCCAGAGCAGGAGCACTAGAATCTGTCACTCTGTCCTATGTTCTACTTCCAAGTTTAAGTTCTCATAATTCCCTTCACCCCACCCCAGACTTCTGCAAAAACCTCCAAACATTTGTGGCCAGCTTCCATATTGATATATAATGTCTCTAAAAAGCAATTGACATTATCACTCTGCTTAAACATTTATGTGCTCCCCAATCCTTATAGGTCCCCATTTGTCTCCAAACTTCCTACTTGCCTCTTTTGCAAATAGAATAATGCTTCTACCTAATGAAAGTATTCACCTTTCTCAAAACACATTCTGAATTAAAAACAAACAAATCTGAAAACACCTTGGAAGCATTTGTACAAATGTTCTTACCTTTGGTGCCTCCTTTTTTCACTACCCAGATCAAATGTCACCTCCTTGAAGAATTGCCTGCCTCCATCAAGAAAAGTCAATGTCTTCCCCGTATCCTTACTACTTTCCTAATACCTTACTTGAACACCACTTTATATTGTAACTCTGTATTTACTATTGTTTCTTAAAATATATTTTGATACCCTAAAGACAAAGAAGGCATTTATTCAACTTCCTATCTCTAACCTGGTATTGTAACTGATGTATTATAGTTATCCAATAATTGTAAAATGAAGCTCAATTTAGTTTTACCTTCAGAGTGAGAAAAGTTAACTATCTCACTGAGGACCAAAGGAAAGAATGTATGTGATATGCCTTGTCAACTTGGCAGAGAGAAGAACCAGGCTTTAGACTTTCCTCATGAACTCTCAAGATGTCCTGGTTTACTTCCTCAACTGCTCTTTGGGTAACTCAGCAGAGCTTGCTAAGAGATCAGCAAACCACAGAGTGTGGGGATAGAGGACTTGTGAGTTGAGGAGAACTGAGCTTGAGTTCCAGAGATGCCACAATCTTAATTCTGTGACCTTCAGGAAGCTACAATCAGCTTCTTAGAACTCAGTTTCCTCATCTCTAAAAGGTGACTTAAACTTCGGTGATCTATTATATTGCCTACCAATTCTGTAACTGCCCGCTAAAAAGCTGAGATGACTCTAGCAAATGCCACAGAGTTCAGTGATATTGTCCTCTGTTTCCTCCCTAAGGAAATGAAACCAACTCAAGAACTATGGTCAACACAGTGGGTGTCTCGTAAAAAGCAATGTCAGCACTTAACAATGCAGTACAATTTGAGAGACATTGGGAAAATCTTCCATCCCTAAATTTTTCCTTCTTTAGTGATTCTCCTTTAAGTTAATGTATTTCTTTTGTCTGAATTCCCCTTTTAAATTTCTGATTGCCTGGGGGCTTGGGTTGTGGCTCAGTGGTAGAGCCCTCCCCTCACACATTGGATACTCTGGGTTCGATCCTCAGCACCTCATAGAAATAAATGAATAAAATAAGGGTACTGTGTCCAACTAACAACTAAAAAATAAATATTAAAAAAGAATTCGTTTAAAAAAATAAATAAATTCATATTGCCTCTGGAGAAAGATAATTTTGTCCCTAGTCTCAGGCAGAGTGTCCTTCCTTACACTGGGCTCTCAATCACATTGTTTACAAACTTTAGAGAGAACTTGCTTCCACACCCCACCATTCCTGGAACCTCTTTATCTCTCTGTCAAAGTCTTCCTTCTTTGCTCATATTACAGTCAAAGGTACCTCTAAGTTGAATGCAGGCCTTATTGGATGCTTCTGCCACTTCCATATAATCTACTTTTCATTCTCCTAGTAACACCATATTTAGGGACAGTATAAGCGTCCGCAGAGACATAAGTAAAATGAGGATCAGAACAGTATGGTGCCCTGTCCAACCAAGGGAGAAGAGACTTTTAAGAAGGAAGGCTAATCAACATTGCCAAATTTGGAAAGTGAGGGAGAAAACTAGCTAGAGGCTGACCAATGTCTTCTTATTACCAAATCTAAAGGACTTTACTGTCAGCGATGGAAATTTGAAGGAGTTCATAAAATCTAATTGCATTCTAAGGAAATTGTACCAATTTTCAGAGTACGGGAAATAAAAACCAGGTCTCTTACAGTTCCACCTGGGAAGTCAGATTGGCTTCTTGCCTCCACTCCTCTTTGTGAGGAGATGATAAAGAATCAACAGACAAACCCAGCTCTTAGACAAAATAGCATGAGCAATATTGTCTTACACTACTTTTTTGCTTTTCTTTATTAACATACATTACTATTCCCCCATTTATAATTTTAAAAATCTAGGCTCAGAACAGGTTAAAAGTACTTTTCAAATCAAACACCCTTCATGCAATACTTCTGCAAAGATTTCTGCTGAAAACACTGTCCAGTTTTTATCTGTCTTATTGTTCCAGTCCTGCACTCTCTACAGGGTCAAACCATCAACCTTACCCCCTAGATCCCCCAAGTGTTCTGTAGTCCACTCACCGGTAATAGCAGAGGAAGAAGAAGGCTCTGATGGAGTCTTGATCTCTATAGTCCTAGATCCTTCCAAGATTAGGGTTTATCATAATATCCCAAAGTTGACTAGCAATTGCTTCACCAAAAAGTCCCTGAATTCCAGACATGTAGCTGGCTGGTCAGGGATTGTTGAATGAAGATGGATGAGCAGAAATTCTCCCCTGGCCCTGTGAATGATTAACAGCAGAAATAGAGCAGCAATATTTACCTAAACTCCCTACTCTTTACTAGCCCTCATTCTCGATACCGTGTTGCAATCATTTATTTTCTCCTTTGCCAACCATTTCCCCTAAGTGAAGAAGGTAATTTGAATATGATGCCAGAATTCCTTCTCTCTCTTTTTATAAACACAGGTTATGCAAGAGGCAATCCAGCTATCTGGAAACCTTGAATACAGCAGGGTTCAGTCAAACTTCATCAAAATGATCTAGTTTCCATGACATGAAGTCCAGAGGCTCTCTGGGGACTGAGGGTCTTGCCTTGCACTCTCCTCCATCCTATCCCAAGGCAAAGTGAAAGGTAGGGAATTTCTCAAACATTCATTGAGTTCTTGCTATGTGCTAAATGCCTGGAACATACTGGAACATACTTGGAGCTCAACAAATGTCAACTACCACCCCCACCACCATTACTATGATATATGGGACACCTAAAGACCAGAAGCTGGTCTGTCACAGACGGCTATTCAGAAGAATGCAATGAGGGGCTAGCTATGTTTACTATCACTTAGATCTAGGAAGGTACCCCAAGCTTTGACTTTGTCCAGTTACTCTATTCACCCTAAAGCTTCAGAGTTGTGTCCACAAAGGACAGCTTTTATAAGTAGTTTTTCTAAGAGTGCAAAATTTTCCATAAAAAATACTGAAAGTGCCACAAAAACTTCTGAAAAGGAGGAGTTAAACCCCAGAGGTTGAGTTCATCAAGGAGGTGTTGATGGAAGACATGAGATTTAGACCAGACTTGGTGAGGTAGAAGGTATTAGAGGAAGAGGAGAAGGATATTAGAGGGAAGGAAGACCCGGCTGTATCACAGAGGTGAGAGATGACAAGCATGAGTGTAGAGGGAGAATCTGGTCTGTGCAACAGGAGGGTGAAGTTGGAGAAAATAGCATCTTTTAAGTTGGGTCTCCAAAATCCCATTGTCCAACACATCCTGCTTTCCACTGTAATGGCTGCCAATTTTTCTATCCAGGTCACCAAATTGTCATGTTCTCAGCAGATCATCTTGCTTCCCACTTTACTAAAATCATTCTACATTAGCCCCATGTCCAATTTTCTCTCCTATTCACTCCTGATTCAGAGAATGACTTCTTCTTTCTTCTCATTTTTACTGTGTCTCTCATCCTGAAATACTCCCGCATCTTGCCCAAACCTCCAATTCCATTTTCCTTCTTTAGTGTGATGCTGCACTTCTCAGAAGTGGGACCTGTACCTTCTGCCTACTCTTTCTCATCAATCACTCCCCGTTTTGCCTTCCCATCTGACTTCCACCCACCCTCAGACCCACACACTTCTCTGGGGCATGTCCTTATCTCCAAATCCAAAATTTCTTTATTTCATTTCTTATAATTTCTCTGTAGCTTTTGACAGTGTTGACAATTTCTTTTCTAAACCTTTCTTCTCTTTTGACCTCTACTACCCCAAACTTTCCTGATTCTCTTATCTTACTAATATCCTTTTCTCAGTTATTGTTATTTCCTTTTCCTCCTCTTCATTTCTAAGTGTGAAAACATTCCATGTCCCTTTAATTTTTTTTTTCTTTCCACCATTTGAATAAATTTACCTACTCTCACAACTCTATTTCCAATGAGAGGATTATCCCATCCTACACCTTAATCTCTGATTCCTCTGCTAAACTCCATACTTTTGTTGTTGTTGTTGTTGCCCATTGAACATATTCCAATATACCTCACACTCAGCATATCCAAAATATCTTGTTTACTGTCCATCAGTTTCACCTTGTGATCCCAAACTTTAATCTAGATTCTTGCACAGAATTTCAAGTTCAACTTTGAACTCCTTTTTTTTCCTTAATGTTCCAACGTTCCATCAATTAACAAGCTGAATGATATGAGTTTCAAAATGCTTCTCATTTCTGCTACTTCCTTTTCACTTCTGCTACTGTTAAACCAGTTCAGGTTATCATTGTCTCTTTGTGGATATCTTAGTCTGCTTTCTGCTGCTATAAGAGAATGCCTTAGAAAGGGTACTTTATAAAGAAGAGATATTTATGTCTTACAGTTTGGGAGGCACCTGACGAGAGCCTTTTTGTTACATCATCTCATGGAGGAAGGTGGAAGGCAAGAGAGCATAGGGATAGAGGAAAAGGAAAAGGGGAAGAACTCATTCTTCTATCAGGAAACCACCCCTGCAATAAGTAACTCAGTAATATCAATCCATTCATTAGGGCTCTGCTTTCATAATCTAATCACCTCTTAGAGATTCCACCTCTCTTCACTGCCACACTGGGGGTTGATTAAGTTTCTAACACATGAACTTTGGGGCATACTCAAACCATAACTGGTGACCATTATAGTAGCACTTTTTTTGGTTTCTCAGTCTCAATTTTTTTTTCTGCTTCAATCAATACTATATACAATTGTGAGAAAAATCATCTTCTATGCTCTGTCCTTATTATTTCCTTACTTGAAAGTCTTCTATGTCTACTCATTGCCTAAAAAAAAAATAAATTCTCTAGTGTGCCATTCAAAACCTTCTGAACTATCTTTAACTGATCTTTCCAGTCTTTTCTCTTACCACTTCCCATGCTTAACTCAGGCAACTTAGACTGTGTAGTGTTTCCTAATCATCTTTCCTTCCTTTGTACAGTGCTTTTAATATATATTATAAAAAATCATTTAAAAACATTAAAGTACTTTAAGAAAATAAATGCCTATAATTTCAACATTTTAAGACAATAGTTTTCATCTATGTATATTATTGTCCAGTCCTTTGCCACAAGAATGGAGGTCTTACATAAATATAATCATAAGTATTTATTATTATTCTATTTTTAATTGAAATTACATTTTCAAGATTTTCTACTACTTTATAATTATCACTGTAAAATGATACATAACATTGGATCTATTATACATTGTGAAATATTTTCCTAAAATTGGACAAATACTTACAAGGTCTTGATAATATAGTTATTAAGAGACAATAATATAATACCTTCAAATGAAAATTATTTGCTACAGTTAGATTAATCCTAGCGGTGTACTTACTTTGATTTAAAAACTTATGGCTCTCTTACTTCATTTTTAAAAACTTATTTCCACCCAAAACATCCTCCTCCTTACTTTTTGTCTCTCTTACTTTTAAAGGCCGAAATAACTATAATCTATCCTTAACAATTTTCTTCCCAGACAGAAATGATCTGTCTTTTTCTGTACTCTGATAGCACAGTGATCTCTGAAAAGTGTTTACTTCATTTTTACCAGCCTGAAATATTGTTTAAATACACTGGTCTTGTGTCTACTGAAAGACTCTAAGATACTTAAGAGTCCTTATTCTCCTTTATAACTTCACCTGGAGATTTTCCATTATTTCAAGCTCTCTTAAGTATTTTGGCTTTAATTTGTCAAGATTTCTTGTGTGCTACAATGGGGGTCAGGCTGAGGGATGGGAGAAGGCTATAGTGTCAGCTCAATATGACATTGTGATGGAAAGCCTCGCGATTCTTATTTCTTCTATCCTCTAAAAAAGAAGAAAATATATTCACTTGTGTTGCATTGTCTCAAACCTCCTGGTAATGCAAGACTGGGTTCCATCTAAAAGGCAGTAAGCAATATTATTGAAGAAGATCAAGAAATCTGGCTTCATAAAACAGATGTAGCCGAGAGCTGGGGTCCTAACTCTACATCTGTCTGAATTTTAAGGATATAACTGTTCTGACCCTATCTTTTCAGAGTGAGAGGTTAGTTTTTGCCTCATAAATTTTGGGTTATTTGAGGTTAATTTTTGGCTCATAATTCATGTCCCTTATGAAGTCCAGTCTTAGTTGAGATCCAAGCTTCCTCTTTCTCCTTGCAGACAGGAAATTAAATTCTCCACAGTCCGTCAATGTGGTGCCAAATGTTGTCTTAAACAGACAACAACCACACTTGATCTTTTCACATTCTAAGTATGACAATTCGCACAGACACACAGAGACACATGCAGTATATTATGCATTTGCAGTTGCCTTCTATGAAGTTGCATTTCAGCCCAATAAGAGACAAACTGATACCAGTTTCAGAATCAAGAGGAAAATTTATTCATAAGTGAATTTGTATTACCAGCTACTCAGCTATTGCATTACGACAATAGTTTTGCCTCCAACTCAGCTTTTTTCATCTCCAGAGAAGATTTTAATTCTTCTATTGTTGAACCACTTTCCTTCAATCTTTTCATAAATTTCTCTATGGCACTGCAAGGGTTCTTTTTCTCCTGAAAGGCAAGGAGGAGAAACAAATTATTTTGAAGTTTTAATTGATAGAATGAGATCCAGCTCTACACCCTGAAGTCAGGAAGCAACAAGGAGGTCCCTGAATGGGGACAGGAGTCAAAACCGTGGAGCTCAGGTGGGATCTGGGCCTTCAACATGATGAATCATTTACACTTTCTGTCTTAATAAAATTTTAATATTTCCACAGTAGTAAATATGGTCTAGAAGAAGAATCTCAAGGAAAATAAATTTTTCAGTGTTTGTTGCAATCTAGAAGAAGTTTAGAGCCTCTTCAGAGTAGTACTTACAAATCTCAGGCATTAAGTTTAAGAACCTTGTTCTATAAAGCACATGAGACAATAATGCCTACCATTATTATGAGGCATTTATGAGGGCTTTATGAGGTATTTGTGATGCAGGTGGTAAATGGAAATGTCCTTATATTGAAATGTGAATCAATGGTTTATGAGGCCCCTTCTATAGTCAGGCCAAGGCCCACCCATTCAAAAACATTATACCAAATTGAAAAGATATTAACTGAACATGAACCAGAAACAATGGCCAAGCCCCAGAGACACAACTGTGAATAAGACAAACAACGGCCCCCACTTACCAATGCCTTCTCAAACCCAGTCTGTAAACATGGTTTGTGGATCCTCTCATGGGTAAGTACACTTTCCAGGTCCCCCTCAATGACCACCTGCTTCTGTGGGCCCTCTGGGTGGTTCCTGAACCGAAGTTAGAACATTTAGCCCTTTCACCTTCAAAATAAAGTAACTGAGGCTACCTTGGGTAGTTATATTTCAGGCTGTGATAGAATCCACCTCCCTGCACCAAGCCATAATGCATGCTCATCTCATTATTACAAAACAGTTATAAAGTAAAACCATTCTCCTGGGGGGCGGGTGGAGGCAGAGTGGGAGGATCCATGGGATGAGTTGACACCCATAAAACAGAGAGGTGAGAAATTCTGAATTAGTGCATTCCTGCACAGAGTTTTTGGGTAAGGAGAGTGAGGGAAGAAGTAGCTGATCATTCTATAAACTAATAAGGCATCAGCCATGTAAGCTCTGGAAAGCAGTAGAAAGTTAGAGACACTCCTCAAAAAAATCTTAGTGAATGGGCTAATGAGTAGCGGTAGCTTTTAATCAGAAAAATATAAAAGTGGACTTCAAAGTCCAAGAAAGTTCAATGGAACTAAATTGCCAGTGAAGCCATGTGACTCAGTAAGAGTAAAACAAGGAAAAGAAAAGGCTTGGGCAACCCATCAGGTGGGAGTCTGGCAGTGTAAACTGAGGCTAGACTGCAAATAGGAATGCTTCAAGGGTCTATCCCCTAAATATATTTTTGAACTTCTGTATTTTTTTTAAATTTCTTTTTTTGTTCTTTGATTCTTTAGAAAAACATACTTTTGCAGGGGGTGGGGGCAGTGTGGGGATTGAACTCAGGGTACTCAATTACTGAGCCACATCCCCAGCCCTATTTTGTATTTTATTTGGAGACAGGGTCTCATTGAGTTGCTTAGTGCCTCCCTGTTGCTGAGGCTGATTTTGAACTCACGATCAGACTAGCTCAGCCTCTTGAGCTGCTGGAATTATAGGTGTACACCACTGTGCTCTGCCCAAAACATTTAAAAAAACTGAGATGGAAAAAAATGGTACTTTCAAGAGGATACATAAGATATTCTAACAGGATCAGTCTGCTTTCCAGGGGTTGGAGAAGGACCACAACGAGCTAACGCAGTTCTCAAAATCAGAATGAGCCCCAAATCCTAAAGCAGGAGGTTGTCAGGGGACTAGCTGGACACAGACTGGCTCATACCCCAAACAATTCTGCCCAAGAGCAAGATTTCATATTCAAAGGCTGTCTGCGCTTACCTCTCCCCACAGGAAGAACTGGTAGACCCCGAGTCGGAATTTCCTCCTTCACAATATCGGTGAGGTGTATCTCCATGAGGGCCACTGTCTCCTGAGGAAAAGGAGTCCCAGAGGACAGTGGTGAGGTTCAGTGATGCTGAGGGCACAGCATCCCGCACAAGCAGCTTAGGCCAGCACCTGCCATCTCCAGAGCAGTACAGAGGGACCTAGGGACTTGATCTCCATTCACTCCCTTCTCATCAAAGTCAGATTTCTCAGCCGGCCCATAGCACACCTGTCATCCCCATGTCTCAGAAAGGAGGCTGCGGCGGGACTGTCAGTTCATGGGAAATTTAGGAAGACCCTGACTCAAATGTTTTAAAAAGGTAGTGGTGGGGGAGTGTATCTCGGTGTTGAGTGCCCCTGGGGTCAATGCCTATGCCACAAAGAAACAAGATCGGATCTGTCCATGGGGAACAGCCCTCCCCAGGTTCATCCCCTGAATTGTGAGGGAGTCTGGAGAACTTTCTAACTGGCAGGAGCTCAAGGAAAAGAAATTTAAGTTGTAGAGATGCTAATTGTTAATGCAAAAGAAAATAAAAATTAGACCCTGGGTGAGGGCAGAAATAACTTGAGACAGGAGATGAAGGATGTGAGCTCCATGGGGCTGACACCTGCTGAAGAGGACAGGTCTGTAGAACCGGAAATGATACATTAGGGACAGTGAAATTTGATTCAGGCTCTTCCAAGTGGCAGAAAAGAAACTCCCTGGCACCAAAGAAATCATTTTGGCCCTCTCCATTTCTAATATTTTATTTATTTGTTTGTTTATCAATCTATCTTTCTGTTGGTACTGGGGATGGAGCCCAGGGGTTGTTTACTACTGAACTACATCCCAGGCCCCTTTTATTTTATTTATTTTTCATTTTGATACAGGGTCTCACTAGGTTGGCTTCAAGCTTGGGATCCTCCTATCTCAGTCACCCAAGTCACTGATATAATAGACAAGGGACATAAGGCTGGGCTCAGCCTCTAATATAACAAGATAATTTCGAATTATCTTAAACTTCTAATATTTTAAGATAATTAGGTTAAATATTATTATGTATAAGATTATTTATAATGTCTTTTTCAGTTCTGAGATTGCATGAGGCTAAACTTGGTGATCAAGATTAAAGGCTGAACAAAAGGTATATTAAAGGTCTTAAAAACAAATACCTTGAGTAAAATCAGAAAATTATAAAAAAGCATGTATAATATAAACCGGTTTTGAAAATCAGGATAGGTCCTTGTTCCCCCATGTTGAAGATTAAACACCCAAGAAATGCCTAGGCAAGAGCAAAAAGTAAAATTTACTTAACAGAACAGAGAAAGAGAGAGACTCCTCTGGAGAGGAGGGTACCCAGGGCTGGTACTCAAGGGAGTAGGGGTGTCTTGCCTCTCTTATAGATTTCAGGTTTCCTTTCCTCATGTCCCCTCCTCCCACTCTGCCTACGTGACCACAAGTGGCCAAAAGGGCAGGAAGAGAGTCACCCAGGAGGTGATTGCTTGTGTTGGAAAGTATGATTCTTTCCCTCCCCCAGAGGCTGTTAGCAATAGGGTGATGGGGAGTGCTATCTACCCATTTCCTTTTCTTTGATAATCAGCTACCTGTCCTTTGCCCTGGTCTCAGTGTAACACAATTTTTGTAAAACAGTCACACACAAATATGCACAGACAAAAAAGGGTCTGTAAATAATATATCAAGATTTTCCTAATGCTTATCTCCAACCTCCCCTACCCCATAGGCTTCTAGGTAATGATTTTTTTCCTTCTATTTTCTATATTGTATTACTTGAGTAGTTTTTAAAAGAATTTGTAAAAACTAAAAGACTGAGTTCAAAGACTGTACAGAGAAAATTTAAAAAAGGATTCTCATGAGTTGATGGAGGAATTCCAGTTTAGAGGGGGTTCTGGTAACTTTTTAAAAGTTCAGTTTTGAACTGAAGGAGATGATGTTGATCTGAGGTCTAAACACAAAATAATGTGCTTCACAGGGATCTAAGGAGCTCCTCCAAGATCTGAGCAATTAACACAAAAAATGATGCTGTATGTGGGAGCCAGGGCAGAAATTTCTAAATTAAAAGAGTAAAAGATTTGGAAGAAATGAAGAAATACTACAAACCCATGTCAAGCTATATTACATTCATGATGTGGTACAAAAGCATGTTCTGGGTACTCCCAAATGCCCTCCTAAGAGAGCTCGTGCAGTATGTGCTTTAAGTTCTTCTCCATTTATTATCTTAGTAGCTACTGAAGTCGCATACAAAGAGTGTAATAGTACATCTCACTAACATAAGTGGCCATTGCTCGTACTGTGAATAATATTAGACGAAATGAACTTTTTCTTTTTTGCTAACATGATTAGTAAGATATTTGTATCTAATTTTAATTTCCAGTTCCATAATTATTAGAAATATTCAATTAAGTTGGAAAATAGAAATAAGTTTGGGGTCATAAACTTGGAATCATCTATCCTTGGAATCGTCTATCCTTACACAATTCCATCATTTTTCTATATGGCTGTCTTTTCTGTGCTAATTTATAGAGTGTTTATTTTATTTTATTTTGTATGTTTAAAATATTAATTGTTTAGCCATCAAGTATGTTGGCAAATACTTTCTCCAAATCTGGTATTATCTTTTAATTTCTATGAGGCCTTTTAATATATATTAAAATATATATTTTTTTATTTGAAGATTTAATTAAATCTGTCTTTTTGCTTGCTTTTTGATTTCTGAGTTTTATGTTATTGGCTTAGGAAAGCCTTTGCCATCTCATGAAATAAACACATTCTCTCATGTTTTAGTAACTTAACACTTTTTCTTTCATATTTATATGTTTTTAACCTAGTATGAGTTAGAGTCCAACTTTGTCTTCTTCCAAATAGACAATTATCACCGCTGAATACAAATGTTTCCCACAGATTTAAAATAAGTTCTCCTGGGGCTGGGGTTATGGTTCAGTGGTGGAGCAAGTGGCCTAGTAAGTGTGAGGCCCTGGGTTCAATCCTTAGCACTGCATATAAATACATAAAATAAAGGGCCATCTACAACTAAAAAAATATTTTAAAATAACAATAATAATAAACAAGTTCTTCTTTTGTCCCTATAAATTACTGTTTTAATAGCACATTAATTATAGTTCCTATAATTTACCAAGTTAATACCATTCTGCTTATAAGATTGTTGGACATTTTATTATCTGATAAGGCAGGTGTTTCCTTCCGTTTGATCCAGCCAGATATGAACGTTAGTCAACATTTTCCAAAAACAATAAACTTTACATGCCAGATATGCACCCTTACAAATGAGCTTTTAAAATTAACTTTTTACTTCTTTTTTTTAAGTTTAAAATGTTGCTGGGACTGCACTGTAACCATCAGTCCAGCCAGATCATGGCATATATTTTCTTTTACTCAAGTCTTGTTTTATGTCCCTCAGTAAATTTTCATATTAGATCTTTCTAATAGGTTTATTTTTATCTTTTATATTAAACTAATAATTATTAATAGAAAATAAACCCATTGATTTTTAAATACTCATTTTGTATAACAGTATGTATTAAACATTTTTCATGGATCTTTTACATATATTCTGCAAATAATGACAACCTTTGTCATAGCAATTATTCTAGGAACTTATCCTAAAGAAATAATAGCATAGGCATAAGGATGTGAAAGGGGGGTGTATAAAACATTCATTTCAGCCTTTTTCATAATAGCAAAAAATGAACATAAAATACATGTCCATCAGTATAATAAGTGTATAATAAGTTGTGGTATACTTTTATGTATCTATTAAAAAGCAGGAGGTAAAGCTATATTACTGATCTGGAAAAATGCTCATGCATATTGGTATATTTCAAAAAGCAATTTAAAACGTGTATAGCAATAGCTTGTTTTTATAGATATACACACACAAATGCTTATTTAGTGTTTATTTAATTCAAAACATTTCACTTTGGTGTTTGTTTTAAATGTCTGCATAAACATAAGAAAAAGAGCCAGGTGTTAAGAGTCAGATGTCATGGCTCACCCCTGTCATCCCTGAGGCTCGAGAGAGAGAGGCAGGAGGATCCAAGCCAGCCTGGGCAATTTAGAAAAAAATAATCATGGTGGGGTGTGGCTCTGCAGTAGAGTCCCCTGGAGCCCAATCCTTAGTACTACAAAAAAAAGAAAAGAAAGCAAGGAAGGGGGTGGGGGGAGAAAGAACAAGTCATGGAATAAAAACATCCAACTGATTACCTCTGAGAGGTTTGAATTTTGCTGATACAAAGAGGGACTTTCACCTGTTATATATAATTTTGCAATGAATGACTCATGGTCTTTTCCCTGTCTGTTTTGTGTATTTTTTTCAAATAAAAACATTAAATCATACTTGATCTTAGAAAGAGCCCTTGTTTGGATGCCATTCATTTCACTGGAATAACACTTGAGATTTGTTTCTGTGAGCTCAGTTTATTTCTTGACTGTTGGCTAGATCTAATCCTATTCCCAGATGCAAAAAAAAAAAAAGAGGAAAGCATTGCAGGGATGTGGGAATGACTAGGGTGACAGTGTGTTAATCAGGATGTTTGGGATTCCCGGTGATTTCTCTGGTACTTACTACTCTTGCAGATGGGAAAGGGAGGTGACCAGGTGTGGTTCTCTAAGCACTGGCTCCAACTGCTTCCCTGGAGGACGTAGTGGTCATTGCACTTAAATGTGATTTTGTCACTTATATTCACAGGCCTGAAGAACTGAATTTCACCATTCACCAGCACAGGGTCAGGACAGTGGCCCACTGAAGAAGAAAACTGACAGTGATCTAAATAGCCTGTCCCAGCAAATTCTTGACCTTCTCAGACACCAGTGAAAAAAATAGCAAATCATATCAATGCAGGTTTTGATAAATAGGGCAGAAATGGTCTTGGCTAAGCATAAGAATGACATGAATCAGCAATTGAATTTGCTAAACACAATGAAGCACATAACTAGAAATCACCAATAGTATATTCATTATCCTGTTAAGCATTCCTCAAAATTCTTGGGCCTATGTTTTAAGCAAATCTTGCTTTCCCTTTCATCCAGTCAGTACTAGCTCATTTTTTGTTTGTTTGTTTTATTCTTTTCTTCCCATGGTATGGAAAAACAGGAGAAAATGCAGAGGGATATGAATTTCTTCATGTAAATGAAGGATAAATTGGTATAGGTATACAGACAGCATAAATTTTTCCCCGTTCAAAATATATGAGGAGTGAATATAAAATATGATGTTTTATTTCAAAATAATAAAGTAAGTATATAAATGAAAAAGGTGTGGCCATGTATTGGTAACTGATGAAGCTGTGAATGAGTATCTGTGTTAACTTGACCTTTCTGACTCTGTATATATTTTCCTATATTATTTTTAAAGCAGTTTTTAAAGCAGTACAAGATTAAATACATTACAATGAAAAACAAAGTAGTTTTAGTGTATGAAAAAATTTTCAAGGGCTGAGGGTAAAGCATTTACTTAGCATGTGCTAGGCCCTGGATTTTATCCTCAGCACCAAGAAGACAAAACAAAATAAAAATGAAGAGAAAACCTTTTTCCTAGCTGTAGGAATAATTGATTCTATTAATGCAACTAAATTAATACCCAGCAAGAGTTGATCTTGTATCTTCCCAGAGACATTCCACCACTATGCCTCTTTAAAAGGGCATACCTAGAAATTGAGATTTTTTAAAAAATAAAGTTTTAATATAGCCAACAGGAATGAGAATGTAAAAGAATATAGCCAGATGACAATATGGGCAAAGAAGCAGAGACAGTCAACTCACAGCGACACTCAGTGGTGAAGTCATTCCATCCCTCAGAGGCATTGCAAAGAAAGGTTTTCTTTCCTACCAGATGGTAGCCCTTGATACAAACGTAAGTCCCCAGCATCTGTCCTTCCACCTCCTTTACAATAAATATGCTGTTGTTCACTGGGGGAAGTTCTAGACAGCTCTCTGTTGAAAGAAAAAAACAAATTGGCATATCACGCACTACGAGGAAGCCCCTCTAGATCCCTGTGTCCGTGTCTTTTTGCAAGATTATTGGTCCTGATAGCTTGTACTCTTCCATATCCACATACATGCCTGCCCCCCCCCTTTCTCAAGATTTCCAAATTTTTATTTCCAAAAGGATATCAGGCATTCCACTCAAATTCAGCCATAGGTTATCTACTACACAAACAATTCCCTTCTCAAATAGAAGTTCTGGAGTTTATACCAAGTATAACCTCTCAGAATACTGACATTGGTACTAGTTTTGCTCCCAGAATAGGAAGGGAAAGTCAAGGGTAACCACCCACTTCAGAAAGCAGAGTCATCCTTAAATACACAGTAAGCCCACAGGAATATGGAGCATTAGGTGAAGTAACTTGATATTTTTCAATATCATAAGTGTAAATTTTAGTTTTCAAGCAAATATTTTGGAAACGAATATCACAAGTGTAAATTTCACCAAAACCCTAGACAGAATGCCTCATAACCCTAAATCTGAGATTAAGTGCCTTGTAAGCTGAGTTTAAAGAAAGCATACATACCATCTAAGGCAGAAATCAACCACATGACTGGTACAAGACAGCACACGAGCCGATAAAACATCTGGTGATCAATTAACTTGACAAATATGTACGTATATATATCCCCTGCCACCGGAAATAAGAGCAGTAAGAAAGTTGGTATGGGTAGGGGCCTTGCAAAAACACAAAGCTGGTTAAAGAGCTGCCAGTTTTAGTAGCCAGTTTCAGAAATGTTCCAGTCCTTTTCAACTGAGGTTTATTCCTCCCCAACAGATGTGGGCCAAATAGTCTTGCCATGACCTTGATGTCTCAATATTTGCCAGTGTTTACAGTCCACCTTCTGCAACTCTCTAGCACTGGGGGTAGAGACTGGGTGCCAATAAATGGTACTTTCCCAGATAGGAGCCAATGTTCTGTGCCACTTACTCCTCTTCTCCCAAACACCAGATTTTCAAAGGCTGTAAAGCAACACTGAAGACAAAGCTCAAGAAAGCAAACTGACCTTACCTGTCTCTATCCCTTCACGACAGTCCTGATTCCAAATCTGAGAGCTCCTAAGTCCTGCATTGACACCTTTTGCCTCCTTTTTCAGGACTATTTCCACTCTGTGGCTCTTCCTGGGGCAGGATATGGCCTGAGATCAGTTAACCAAATGAATGAAGAGAGGTGAGAGGAATGTTTTGGTTTCTTTCTTTAGGAAAGAAAAGCACATTACATTGCTTTGCGATTCTTTAGCATCTTGTTCACAACTATTCTAATACTTAGTTGGTTCTCTGTGCTCTAATTATAAAATTGGGATAAAATTCCTATGAAATTCTACCAAATTTTAGGTTTTAATAAAATAATAAATATAAAGCATCTAAGGACACAGTAATGTTATTCTCCATACATTATTATTACTCTGTAATGATCTGTTTATATTCTTCTCTTGAAGGATTTTAGAATTGCCACTCCCAAATATGCCACTTCAGTATAAAGTTATTTTAAGCTGAAGACGTTTCAGATTCAACATATGCAGGGGAAATTAACCTTTCTTGGAGTTTTCCCTTATCCCACTAAAAGCAGCAACTTCTGGAAAATGAGGTAGACATAAATTCCTCCTAAATGTAGATCTACTCCCAGAAGAGAGAATGCAAATAAAGTCTATCCCAAATTCTTCTCCAAGGGAGTTTTATGGCCTTGAAGCATACAGATCACTCATACCTACATGGACAAACATTATTACAAAATTTCTTATCTCTTGTTTGTTCTCCTGAAAACCCATTTATCATTACAAAAGGTTATCTGTAATTACTTTTCCTGTAAGTACTTTTCTCTTCCACCACTTTACCTATTAAAATGACATATAAACCCCCAATTCTAACCACTCCTTTGAGCTACTTAGCTCTCCCACACATATTTGAGTTGCGTAAATTCTTATTCTTTTCTTTCTGCTAATCAGTCTTTTTTCAGTTTAATTCTCAGTTCACAGCTACTGAGTTTAAGAGGGTAGAGGTTTTTTTCCTTCATCTACACTTCAACACTAAACTGTTAACCATTCTAGAAAAGGGTTTGTGCCTCATTTGTATTGTATACCTTTGTACCCCATATTGCAAAGCAGAATTGTCTGCTAAATGAATAAAATCAATGCAGGGCTGGGTGTGGTGGTGCATGCCTATAATCTTAGCTGCTCAGGAGCTGAGGCAAAAGGATCTCAAGTTTGAGGCCTCGGCAATTGAGCAAGATCCTGTCTCAAAATAAAATGAAATAAGCCATGTTGGAATAAATGTAAAGAATATAGTTATCTAGAAACTCCACTGAGCCATCAAATCAAATGCATACTGATTATCATGTACTGTATTTTGCTTATTTAATTCATCTTATCTTTTCTCAATTATTATGTAAAAAGCACCTTCTAAAGAATGATTTTCAAAGTTAAAAATATGACACTTGTATAATATAAAATGAATTCATTAATTCATTAACATGTCATTGCAGATGATGTATTAATGTCATTAAAGATGCTATAACTGGTTCAGAGAAGAATTTGAGAAATAGAGATTTATATAGTCAAAAGCATTCTATTTCAATAGATGTGAAACTAGTTAATGTCCTATAGAACAATACAATTTTGAATTGACTTTTGTACATTGATGGAAATTAATTGAAACAAAATGGACAAAATTCACTTGCTTTGTTCTGATCATGAATCATTTGCATTGTTCTCAGATAAGAGTAATTCGTGTTTTCATCCATGTTACAAACTAACTTCTTAGAGGGTTGTAAAAGAATAATAAAAAAATCAAACTTGCATATCCTAAGGAATTGATAATCCCTAGGGGGTCTGCTAAAAAAAAGTGCCCAGTAACTCACTGAAATTTTATTCTAGTGATCTCTTTTTTGCCTAAGTCCAAGTTTTGAATAGTTTTTAACATACCACATATTCTCCTTCTCGAGGAATACATGTTCTTCAGTGTCTTACATAGAGTTTTATATATACATATGTGTGAGTTTGTACAATAAAAGATTAAAAAGGGAAAGAAAATATGTCTTAGTCCTACATAAATACGAACATAAAATAGAGCACATACGACAGAAAATAATTGTAAATACCTTTTCATCTTAATGGTTTACTTTAGATGCATGACTCTGAGGACCTTATGGAGTTTATATTGCTTATACTATTGTCTTACTCTAATATTACTCCATGAAATATAATATTCACATTAAATGAGATACACAGAGACTGTAAATATCCTCACAAAGTTCAAGTCTAATTTTACTGTCACATGAGTTAGAAGAAAACTTGGTTTTCAAAGCTTTCTGGAACTTAGAATTAGAGATAAATGGATGCCATCCGAGTACACGTATTTTTACCATATCAAAGGAGAGCAAACTCTTGGTTTCCTACCCTGAGACCCAAGGATGGGTTTCAGGTCATGACACCTCTAAACTGTAAGCAAAACCCGTGTCTACCTCTTTCTGGGAACTGTATGTAAAACCTGTAAGTGTCTACCTTTTTACTTTGCTTGTTAAATTCTCAAATGAACTGAAGAGAATGAATGTAGATCAATGGTGCAGACTATGCTTAGAGAACATAAAGTTTGAGAATGGGCTATTGCCAGATTGCCACAAGAAGAGCCAGTGGAGTTTTGTCACCAAAAAAGGCAAGCTAGTAGCCTCAAGGTTGAGCCTCCTTACAGTTGGGTCCCTAGTAAAATCCCTGGAAAGGTTTAACATGGTGTAATAAAGCAACAGGAGAAAAGCAACCAATGGCCATCACACAACGCAGAGCACTCTCTGAATCATTTTCTAATCCTGATATCTTTGTTACTGGTGACATATAAAAATAGTAAAAATAGTATGGTATATTTCTTGTGCCTTCACTGTTACAAATCTTACCATTTACCTTGCTCTGAGATATTGGCTTTGACAAACATTTCAACAGTACCAAGGGATGTCTTTTAATAGGGTGTTCAATGACCTATCTGTAAATGGAGGAGAATGATTGCAGACTCTCCCAGCCTTTGACCAAGGATGGCTTGATGGCTGATTAAATTACAAGTGACTAAAGATCTTTCCAAGGAAATTATACCTTTGAGAGCACACCCATATCAAAGTCCAAAACATTTATCAAAACTTACAACCACTATTTCTCACTTGGTTCCAAACTTGGAAAATTCATAAATAATTTTCATTCTGTCTGAAGAATCTTTGAATTAAGAGAATTTGGAAATGCTTTCTGAGTCTGGCTTATTTCACTTAGTGTGATATTCCCTGGGTCCATCCATTTATCATCAAATGCTATAATTTTATTCTTCTTCTTATGAACATTTTTTGTCTGATACTACTTATCCCAAGAAGAATGCACCAAGTTCTTTTACCATACCAATTTACTTATCTAATAATGGTTTTACTCAAGGTTATTCATGAAGGGGAAATAATTCCCAGAGGGAGGGATGAGCTACAGACTTGCTGTTAACTTTTTACTTTTCAATAATAAATTCTAGAAAAAGGGCAGGCACTTTGATCCATGGCCTATCAACCAACAGGCAGTCATGAAATATTTGTTGAATAAATAAATGCCTAGAATACCAACAATGCCTGGATGTAACAATCCCATTGATATCCCTCTGAAATGCTAGTGGAACTTGATAAAGATAGTAGATACTGATTAAAAACACTACTCTACTTGGAAATATATACACTATAATAATTTGAGAAAATTTTTAAAGAATTTAGTTTCAAATACATTTGAACAATGGTATTAATATTTTATGCATGTATAATATTCCAAATGTTATCTTCTTTTGTGATTTAAAAAATTAATGTATTTTAATTAAAATAACTTTTATTGTGTTTTCTTATTGCAAAAACAATACTTATTACTCACATATTTTAGCATGATTTTATTTATCCAGGAGACGAACATTTCTCCAGAGAAATGCATTTCTTGGTTTATAATAAAAATCAATGAGGAAAAAAATTCTCAAAAAAAGTCCACTGTGCTTTTACATAGTTACTCTCCTTTTACAGATATCCACATTCTGAAAATTTCAGGAACACTATGGACATTAAACTTAAAAGTTCAAACCACCTAGGGCTCTACCAAAAAGCTAACAACACAAATTATATTACATTCTGATTAAATACATGCAAATGCTGATATAAAAATGCTTTGAATGGATAAATAAATAACTAAATAAAACATTAATCATCAGAAAACAGTATATTTAGATGCAGAAAGAAATCTGCATCAGAAGAACAAATCAATACAGTACAGCATGCTACAAGCAGCCAGATGAAAACCATCTGCTACAGAGCAGAGTAAGGAGCCTTCTGAAGGCAGCTTTGTGCATGTAAAATAAGCTCCCAGTTGCCAGATGCTGAGCTGCCTCCAGCCCAGCTCTTCACATAGTCAGTAACAGTCTTCTGCACCATCCACAGTATAAAAGAACCATTTAGGGAAAGCTGAATCTCATTATTTTTCTTGCTACTCAGACTTTTGCCCAGTAAGTGTGCATTTGAATGAGGAAAAAAAAAAGTAATAATTAAAGTCCAAACTGTACTATTCTTAAAATTAAAAAAAAAAAGATTTTGTAAGATATAATGTCCTGTGAGGATTCCGCATTCTTCCTCCATGAGAGCAGTAACATATTAAAGTCGCATTCACAGAGACATATTTGCACATTTGACAATCACTGATCTTGGAATGGTGATCTGGTTTCTCTAGAAGGTAAGCAAGTGACAAATGCACTGAAGTTTGGTTCTTCTCCCGTGGTGTGACATGGGAGACCAGTTGATCAAGATAGTGAACTGGATCAGAGACAGACATCAATAGACTGCTTTCTTGAAATGACAGTCACAGCTTTCTTAGAGACGAGGTCACCATGACAGATTACATCAGAGGATAGGTCTGTCTTTACCTGTTTCAAAGCCAAAAAAAAAAAAAAAAAATTCCCAATAGAGTTAATGCCCAAGAGCTGTTTTCATTCCTTCATGGGGTTATACATGAAATAGCACTCTCTTTTTCCAGCCCTCATTCCAGTCACCGAGAAGTACCTCAGTTCTCTTCAGCTATGAGAGGCACATGCATCAGGTAGAAAATACAGCTGTACAAAAGAGAACTTAAAGACGAGTAACCTTCGGGAAGTCTTCTAGTCAGACTCTCCCCTGAAGGGCCTAAAATGAGAAAAACTTTTCTAAACGAAAAGGGTGCTATTGACACTGACTTCTATCACTTCAGAAGAGACATTCTAGGTACTGAATTTCTCAGATACCTTCCATTTACCTGGTGATTTTGCTCACTTCCAATAATATATCAAGAGGTGGCTGTTAGCATATGTATATTGGACTCTAGCCAGCTGGCCTGCGGTGGATGCAAAGATTAGTTCTTATTACACAGAAAAGGCTTCCTGGAGCTCATCCCTCTCACTCAGAAACCACATTTGAAGAAGTACATGTGCACCTTGGGCAAACAGACAGCTAGGGTTGTAGTCACAGGTAGGATGCTAAATGCCTAAACAGAATGATATCCACAAACCTGGACCAAACCCAACAAAGAGATGATGAAAACTAATTGGTTCCAGCTGTTAAATGTTTTGAGGCACAGTATAACTGATATACCCGTTAGGCATGGGGAAAGAAATGTGGTGACTTTTGCCAGGACTCATTTTGGTAGCCATGAATTTGCAGTCCCTACTTAACCTCCATTTCTAGCCTCAGGGGAGCTGACATCCCAAGTTTTTCAGAAGATCCAGTCCCTTGGAGAGGTCTGGCCTCAGCCTCCACACCATCAGGAGTGCAATGTGAAGGACGTCACAGAGGCAGGTTTATGCTCAGTCGGCACAGTATTCACTTCCTAGGAGTCAAAGAGGAAGAGGTATTGGTTACACCACAACCAATAGATGAATGAAGAAAAACAGAGCAGAATTCAGCCCCAGTCCTTCTATTGTGTCCCCTACCCTTCAGCCCCCATTCCCTCCACACACATACATGCAAGGACACACTGGTGTGCTTGCACACACACACCTGCACTCTGAGGGGTCAGACAAACTCTAATGGCATAGGCAAGGGCTTCTTTCCCTGAGAAGCTAACCTTGTAACCATGTTGGGCCAGGTGCTCCTTGTAGACCTGGACCATAAGCTACATACCTAAGATATGAAGCAGAAGTGATAGGGATTCCTGTGGCAAAAAGAGAGTATGCAGCCTACTTCAGCCAAAGACCATGCCAAAAAAGTGACATTGCAGTCAGAGGCTACTTGGCTTCTGAGGAGGGTCCCTACCATTGTAGTTACTCCAGGCCATTCTGAAGTCAGTGATCAGAGCAAATCAACTTTTTCCCCTAAGTTTGGATTCAATGTTTTACCTTGTGAGTTCTTCCCCTTAGAACAATGTTTCTCAAATGTTAAATGTTCCTGGTGATCCTGTAAAAATGAAGGTCTGATTTGGGGGCCTGAGACTCTGCATTTCTAATGAGCTTGTGGCCCTTCTTAGAGTAATAAGGAATGAGGCATGAGAATAGCAAAAGCAATTTCAGCTCTAGTTCCTGTTTCAGAAGTTGTTAAATAACCATTTTTTACCATTGGTTGTTAATCTCTTTAAAAATAGGTGGAGTATATTTTAAAAGCAACAGACACTAAATTGTAAAAGATCTCACAAGTTTTTTTTTTAATGGGTAATATGAGCTACATGTTGTTAGTAGGAGTCACAGCACCATAGGGTTGAGAGTAATTTTCCCTTAATTCTTGCATAGGTACCAACAGGTGTACATGACTACCCAAGTTCATGCGCTTCCCATATCTTTCCCATCCTCCCTAAAAGGTAGTGAAAGAGAGTCTTGTCTATAGTCGCACTGAGAACCCACGTTGGTCTGCCCAAGTCTTCTCAGCATGCAATGAAGTTTTAGAGGGTGTGGGTGGAGACATAGCCCAAAACACAAAACAAAAAACCCAGAAGCCTTTTGATAGGTTCAAGTTACTCAACAATTTTATTTACCCATTCTATACACACACACACACACACACACACACACACACACACACACACAAAAGCACATTTCCAATACAGTTATATACACCTTTAGTGGATCTAAGTAAAAACTTATGTCATCATGTCACCAGATTAAATCAGAATGGTGCTAGAGATTAATGCTCCTATGTTCAACAGAAGCTGTGCCTGGGAAGTCCACGGTAGAACTCTGTTCCTGGGTTTCCAGGCCCAGCCCATTTCCATTCAAACCTGTGGGGCTCAGCCCCACTCCTAGTCCCCTCCAAAGAGGGTGGCATTTAGTTCTTTGCTTTTGCCATAGAAAACCATCACTGTATTACAATGAGTTGATTTTGTTACTTCAACAACAATAAAAATGTATACAAGCAATTCAGATACAAATATAGTAAGTAAATGTTGGCCACAGATACCCAGTGAAAGACTTATGGGAAAGAATACCTTTGCTCATTTAAAATCAGTTTCTGAATGCAAATTTCCTTTGCACTTATTATATTAGGAATAAAAGCCATATGCATGGCAGATTAAAAACAATAACACTCTTCATTAGAATGCTACATTCCTTAATAGGATAAGCTGAGGACAGAAGATTCAGGAATGGATAGTGAAAGAAAAGTCTTACTCTAAAGCAGGGGACTGGACAAGATGACTTCAAGTAGAAATCACAACTTCAGATTCTTACTAGGCATTCCCTTATCTGAGTTCACAAAACACCATACAACTATCATCTTCATAAACACTGAGAATTTGACCACTATTACATAAGAAATGTCTATGAAAAATTATAGCACACAGAATTTCCCCATAAAGAAAATGTACAGTGTTTAGTTTCTTTCTTTGCAGGACATGTGCCATAGATAGACAATTACAATAACTTACCATACTAAAAAACAGTACAATGAGAAAACCGAGAAGACTGTTGGCCTGCAGATCCTATCAGAGCCCACAGTCAGTCAGCACAGATCCTTTTAGAAATAGTCTTAGGGACACCAAGAGTCTAAACAAAATTCCTGGACACACTTCTGATGTCTATGTCATCTTTAGGGAAAGGCAAGGATCTACCATGACAATGTGACAATATATTTTTAAAATGAAACATTTTAAAACACACACAAAAAGTCAAAGTACATATAAGAAAAGCTGGGTACGTCTATCAAACCTCTTGACAACAGATACAATGGCTTCTGGGCTTGGCTAGGATAGTGGAATGTGCATGAGATTTCATCACCCAGGACGTGGTGTTTCCCTTTGTCCACTGGCCACCCCAAGCATCAATGAGAACTCTAGAACTCAGATCTCCTGCCCCCAGAAAACCCAAAAGATGGATTTATTTGCAAACAGGTATATATCGTGTTTCTTCAAATATCAGTGCATCTGAAGATCAAATGTGGATTACAAGAGGTCTATCAGATCTTCACAAGAAACACTCAACCATTCCATCCAGGAGTACAAATACATCTTATCCTCTACTCCAATTTCTTGGGAAACAAAATCAAAACCCAGATACAATGACACAGGGCAATTCCCCAGCACGATGCAGATAAAAGATTTTTAAAAGATTTAAAATCTTAAGATTAAAAAGACTTTTAAAAGGTTTTCTTACTTGAAAAAGATTTTTCTATTCTACTTTCAAATTCGATGTAAAACCAGCCCATTAACAAAACAAAAAGGACACTATTGATAATAAATAAGAACTAAATTCCAATTTGGAAATTAGGAAGTAGGAACAGAAGAGAAGTGGGTTCTCTGAATCTGCAACAAAATCCTTTCAAAAATCTGTTACAGACATCCTCATTCAGCTTGGAACTAACAAAAATAAAATATGGTTTTCATTTCCTGTTTTATTCCAATAGATCAAAGTCTTACCTATTTCCCCCATGGCAACAATTAAAACCTCAGCAAAGGGTTCTCTGGAGTCCATCCTTTCTTTGTAGAACTTGTGATATAGACATAAGCAGAGTAACAGGTATCTACTACCAATATACATTTCAAGTAACTAGAGGAAGAAGAATAGAAAAAAAAAAAAAAGATGGGAAGTAGGACTTCCCTAAAATCCCGAAGAGCTCTATTCAATTCTATATTCTCTTCTTTTGTGAACATCTCTGAAGGGATCAAAACTCAAAGGATGTTGAAACTGGTGCTGTTTTCAAATTCTAACTTCCCCTGTCCTATGTGAGGATAAGGTCACCTCCATTACTCCTCTGGGAATAGCAAACTAACACAGGGGAAGATTAAAAGTATTATCAACAGAATGAGTGCCAAAACGAACATCCAGTGACCTGTCTCTAATGACAGTGTTTATAACAGACTAACACAATGCTAGTCAGTCAGAGAAGGCTCCTCTGCCTAAGAGGAGGTGCCGTCTAAATCCCACATCTTTGGATCAAAGTTCTCCCTCTTCTCATTTATTATCTCTAAATTACTATCACCTTGCAGCAGGAGAATAGATCGAATAACCATTTGGGCTAGAGTTGCCATCATCCCAACCAAATTAGAAAAGGCAACCCTATAAAAGAGCCATGCATACCTCCCAGGCTCTCCTTCTCACACTGGGGAGATGGGGTCTTTCTATCCCCTAACACTTTTGGTCTCACAGCCACTGGAAAAGGGAACAGTCACAAGCAATCTGTAGCACTTCCAGATGTTCCACGGCAACATCAGCACTTTCAGACTCAGTGTGTGGCTCTTTTGTGAATGTTCATTTGCTGTAAATTACATGCCCTGTCTCTTAAAGTAACCTTCTTGAGGACAAGGACCTTTCTTTTTCTATTTCTGTTCTTTCTTCCCCCATTCAGCTCCAAGCCCCACAAAGACACTACTGCAGACCTTCTGCAACAGCTTGACAGGAAGAACAGGTAATTTTATGTCTTAGACACAATTTTGAGAAGACGCTAGGCCAGCAGCCTTTGGAAAGCAGCTGTGGTATTCTACTTGGAATGTAAAAGTGAAGGGCTCAAGGTGGAGACAACCTTCCTCATCTTACAGACTGTACCTCAGGACCTCTCTCCAGAGTGCTTGGAAACCCAGCTTTTATTCAAGGTCATTTAGAGGTTTGTTCCACATCACTGCACAATGTGAAGGGTGAAAGGTGAAACTAGAACCTACAGTAAGTCTCTAAAGCACAGCAGCCGGACTGAGAGGCCTGCTTCACTTACTACGGTGATCTGCTCCAATATTGAACTCCAAAGAACTGTCCTTTTAGAATTAAGAGGAATTCAGAATGCCAAGGTTGATCCTTTGTCCAAGAAACTACTATCTAGTATGTTTCCACTTAGCTTCATAAGGTGGAACACCCTGGGTATGAATCAGAATCATCAGGGAAGCTATTTAAACACACATGTGTCCAGACTTCAACTCCAGTTTCTGAGTCAGAATTCAGCCTGACTCAGATGGACCCAGGCCTGTGTAAGTTTCCAAAGCTGTAAAGGAGATCCGAAGGAAGGTTCCTGAGTGAGAGCCATGATGGAAGGTTTTCTATTACAAAACAAAAACCCTTGGGAAATAGTTAACTTGTTCCCACCAGCTAACTCTAAAATGTAAACGGATAGGCAGAGGATCACCTATCTTAAAAATCCCAAGAGAACTCTAGATTTGTCTCTCAGAAAAATGTGCGTATATACATTCATCTATTTTGTATACAAAATTGAGATAGAAGGAAAACCATTATATGCTATCAAGGGGCTAAGAGTCCCTTCTTTAAACAATTACTTTTAAACCCTACAAAGAAAATGAGATGACAGAAATGAATAGATAAATTAGAATAGTCAGGAAAGAGCTAGACTGCATGAAATTCTCAAAATGTCAAATTAATTTCTCCTTATGAACAAAAGAGTGCCCCAAGAAGAGAGATTAAGTTCATCATCAAGTTTTTCCACACTTGGAAAAAAATTTTCTCCTGCTAAAATAATAATAATAATAACTTTAGGGGTATGCTGGAAATTACTGGAAAATAATAAGCAGCTTTGGTGAACTGAGTGAGCTCTTCTCTGCCTTTTGTTTTGAGTGATTCAGACATCAGTGGTGACTCCAGAATCTAACTCCATCCTTCTAAAAAGCCCCAGAGGTCACTGGCTGTGGCAGGAAAGTTGCTGTGATTGGCAAAGAACCTGAAAGCCACAGGAAAAAAGATCTGGCTGAACTGAGAGGCCCACAAGGGTTAGAGACCACCCTATCCTCCTGAACCCCACTCCACAGCCAGCAAAGGACTACCCCTGGCTCTTCTAGGTAAAAATACAAACCAAGATGTGTCCCACATCCCCAGGGCCAGGTTCCCCCAGGGCATCAAAAACATAGGATTGTTTCTCGTGAAAAGAGATAAGAACTCTCACCCTATGTCCACTTGCAAGCTCCAGAGCATTCTGTGGATGTTCTGTAACCTGGGCTGGCCCTTTCAGGACCTGGCTGGAGAGGAAGGAGAAGGGAAAGGAGAGACTCCTCCAGTCCAGATCCACTTAGACCCACTAGAAAACACCACTGGGGCCTGGACTTCTCCCACACCAACTGCCCCTTCCCTCTTTGACAGACACTACAATGTCATGCATTATACTAGACAATCCAGAGGGGAGATGAAAACGAGTTAAGTGAGGACTGTGAGTTAAATTCACATTAAAGAGACAAGGTGAAGGAAAACTGGGCTTTCCTGGTTCCCTTCACTCACCATCATCCCCACTTCACCAACACTAGGACATGAGTGAGGTTAGACACCAGAGAACAAAGAACCAAGTTATGAGGCATGCTTAGCCCCCAGGGAGAATGTGTCCTTTTTCTCCTTCTCCAGACCACCCCATCCTAAAAGACCCAACTTGCCATCCTGCCCCTGGATGAGGAGCTGTTTCCAACTGGAGAACGACTAGAGTTGGCCTGTACATGTGTGACCTCACATTCTGGGTTAAGAATAATGGTGAGGTGTTGAGGGAAGGGGTGGCGGTGGAAGTTAAATGACTCCTTGGAGATTAGTGACAAGGGCAGGAGGCCAGGGCTAAAGGGAAACACACGGTTACACCACCGGAATGCTGACTTGGGTCTTCGGCTGGTCGGCCCCTTCTTGCATGTCCAAGGCACGGAGAGGGCTGAGGGGCTTGAGGGGCCGGCTCCCAACACTGTAATTTCTCGGACGCCTTATTGTATTCGAACTGGATAGAGGCGTAAAGCTGTTCCTTCTCATCCTTACAGGGGTTTGGTTCTTGGGGAGGTTGTTCTGATTGGAAATGGAGGGACACCACACAAATGAAAGCCACGCCAGAAGCTCACTCACAAAGGTTAAATTACACTCGAAACCACAGCAGCTTTCTTCCTCCTGTTCCTCTGGCCTCACACAGGACGTGGCCTGGTCTCCTGGCCCCAGGGGAATCAAAGGGTCACAGCGGGGGAAAGCTCCCTGATCATCAGATCCCAGATCAGAAAGGGGTCCACCAAAAAAAGGGGTTTACTTAAGGCCACACAAATCACAGAGGCAGAGCAGGAACCCACCTCAACCTGCTGACCCCACCTTCCAGCTCCTCTGAACCCTGCTCTTTAAAGGGAGCCTTCCTGGGGCAGGGAGTCTGGATTTCACTTCAGCCAAGCACTTCCCATATTTAACTGAATTTCTAGGAGCCAACTTTCAAGGTTAAGATTCATGAAAGAGGTACCGATTTAAAAATTAACAGTTCCCATATGGTTGCCTTTTAGAAGCAGACTATAGAGGCCATGAATTCTGGATCAGCTTTTCTTTTGTACATAAAAAAAACCCCAATCTCTTTATGTCAAAGGTTCAAGGACTCAGGGAGGTGGGAACTGGCAGGTTTGTCCACGGGAAAATACTTACAGCCGGTTTTTCACGGTGAGTGTTCACAGCCTCCACTCCAAGCGTAATCGTTTCCACTTTGCACCCTGAGAAACAAGGGAAAGAAAGGCCTTCAGGAGAAAGCTCAAAGGAGAATTCCTCAGTTTCCACACAGGAAAACAAACTCTCCAACACACACACTTATACATACATCCCCTTAAAAATGCAAAATGCTAATGCAATGTCCCTGACATATGGACGTGATGCATTCAAATTTCTGGACAATCTTCAGAGAAAACCCAAACATCTGACCTTCTTCAATCCCCACCTCTTGCCAGTCCCTGAGCTCATAGTTACCATAGGCCACAGGAGTGAGTTTGAGGATGATATGGAGAGGACACCTCAAGTATGGTAGCTCATCTGAAAGCAGAAAGATTGGGTGAGGGAAGTGTCTTAGATCATGGAGTAATTGTGACTTTTTTCTGAACTCTTTAGTCTTTAACCCTGACCACCATCTAGAGTTGTTCAGCTCCTTCCCTAAGCCCCACACAATGATCAGGACTAAGAAGCCACCTAGTTCTTCTGAGTGGTAAGGAAGGAAATAAGGCCATTTCAGCTTCTTCCATGCAGGCAACACAGGAGTAAGTGCCATGCCCAAAGTCCCATGGGAAGGAAGACTATGGTCCATTTGGATACCCAAAGGCCAATCTGCAGACTTCTGGTGGCTCAGAGAGATTGAGAAGGGAAGGATCAGAAAAGGAAACAGCACTTCCTTACTATTCTTACCTGGAAAGAGCTGCCCACCCCCAACCCAATACTTCTAAGATACCATCTTCCTAGTAGCCAGAGTGACAAGCTGGGACTATTCAGTCACTTTCCTGATGCTGCCAGGAGTGTTAGCAGGACACTGGCCCCTGAGCAGTTAGAATCAAGCAGCACCAGCAGCAGCCACCCTCCACCGGGGCTTTTGTAATAGTGGAGTGAATTCAGCCACAGTTGACCCAGTGGCTGCTGGGAGCCCCAAACCACTGCCTGAAAAATGTACTCTAGTTTGAGTAGAAGAGGGGGAGGCCCAGTTGCCAGGAATCCTGGTGCCACTATGAGCCAGGCTCTCTCCCCATAGATGTGTCCCCAGACTTTCCCTCAAATAGCACCTGCGCCCTTATCCAAGAAGTAGGCCAGGAGGCATCGCATGACAGCCTGGTGGGAGATGACAAGGACATTGCCCTGACGTTCCAGCTCCATGATGACAGGCTCCAGCCGCTGTACCAGGTCCTGGTATGACTGTGGGGGCAAGTGGAGCAGGCTGGTAAGAGGCCAGGTGCAAGCTGGCAGCCAGGCCAGCGGCTGAATCCCAGAGTCAAGAGGCCACTTCTTGCCCAGGCTGGCTCTCTTCCTGGAGGCTCAGTGACTCCATGTTGCTTACTAAAGGCCACTGCCCACCCCCACCCCTGCCCGAATCTTAAGAATACTTCTTGGATCTTTAAATAGCAATATTAAGACCAAGAAAATCACAGGTTACGAAAAGTTTGAATTCAACTTGCATGTGTGTGTTTTGTTGTTGTAGTTCCCATGACTAATAGGCAGAGTGTAAGGCAATGAGAGTCTTCTAGAAGTTTCCTGGACCTCTGCCATTCTGGTTTATTTATTTTTGCCTTCAACGTTCTAGAGTATGAAGCCACTTAGAAAAAGAAACAATCTAAAACACTAAAGATGACAGAGAAGTAATTCATGCCCCATATATTTACTTGGTGACTAGACCCACTTGGGTAGTGGTGAGATTGAGGGAGCAGAATGGAAAAAAAAAAAAGAGTAAAAAAGATCAGATTGATTCCATAGTATTCTCGACTCAGGAGACATCTTTGACTCTTTTCTCTAGAGATCTTAACAAATTAATGAGGCATTGGACTGCCTGAGCTGAATTAAACACAGGATGGCTCAAAGGTTAGAAGGTAAATGATGGCTAGGCTACCTTTATACATCCTCTACGATCACATCAATCCATCCTCCAAATTAAAGCTATTCCCCCACCAGCAAAGGGCTGGGTCGTTACTCCACATGAGAAGTCTCACCTCCCCGCCAGGATAGCGATACAGATACTTGTCTTGATCTCGAAGAGCAAACTCCTCTGGGTACTGCTTCTCGATCTCTTCGTATGTCATCTCCTCACACACGCCCTGCAAGAAGCCACACTGGCTGAGGAGGTGGACTGGCCCACATTGTCCTATCCCACAGAAAGAAGACGCCACTGAAGAACACCGATTGCTTACTATGTGTCAGGCCCTATGCTGGGTCCTTTCATGGACTGCAGCTGACTGTAACCAGGGTGTCACGGGCACCATGGATGGGAGCCACAGCAAAGAGAAAGCTGTCACTTTCTCCTACTTCTGTGGGGAATGTAAAGGTCAAGAAGAGTCAACAGGTTAAAAGGAATAGGAAGCAGGGAAGGAGGGACACTGATGAGACTGAAGAACTTGAAGGAGGAATAAATTAGTAGAGAGGAGGGAAGGAAAAATTAATGTTTACTTCTGTGTTCAGGGTTAGGAAAAGCCAAGAAAAATTTGGGGAAGGACTTTCCCAGAATAGCTGATCAAATGATCAAAGCAGAAATTAAAAAAAAAAAAAAAACTGGTTTATTAGCTACTTCTTCTTCCCAGGAGGAAATCATACAAAAGAACAAAACAAGTCCTCATTAGCCCCAGTCTCCCCAGGTACCAGAATGGCTGGGTCAAACACTGGTTTGGGTCCCATCGCTGGCACTGATCTTTAAGTAGGCAGGAAGCCCTGATGGGTGTTCCACATTTCCTCCCCCAATCCCCCCCAAATGGCTACAGATTCAGCTTCCTCAAAGTTTTTACTTGGTGGTTCTAGTTTCTAGACAAAACTGCCCAAATCATGACTCCTGAGAATTTCCACCTGAATGAGAGACTCCACTCACAGCATCAATCTCATTCAGAATCTTCCACTGCTCATAGGTCACTCCAAGAGACTCAGCAGTCTGGATAGTCCTCTTCAACTGGCTTGTCCAAACTTTAAGGTCTTTTATTTCCTGCTCCTCTAGAAACTTCTTTAGAGCCTGGGAAAACTGGGGTTTAAAAATAAAAACAAAAAAAAAGAAAACATACACATTCTCAATATACTCACCCACATACACACACACATTCATACAAAGCACACACGCACTGCTAACTCAGCCTAGAAAGGGGCAATTTGTTGAACCATGATCAAAATATAAACCCAAGAGGAAATGAACCTGAACTGGAGCACCCTGTACTGTGCTAAGTATACAAGTCATGCCCAATAAATATTCAATGACTGAATGATCACAGTGGAGATAGTTCCAAATTAACCATACTTTAACATGAAGCTGGAGCCATGAGCAAGAAAACATCTTGAGCATTTGCCTGACCATCTGCCCAAATGAGATTTAATACAGGGATAAAATAGATGACCTCCACCATGCCCTTCTAATTCTAAGCCTAGGAAATCTAGCTAGCTAGCTAATGACTCACCTGCTTTCCCCGCACAGAGAGGCCAGAGTCACCCCCAATCCTTCCTAAGAGATTGTACTCGCTCTCTCCGTGCCGGCAAAGGTAAATGGTGCGAGGCTGGACATGAATATTCATGAGGTAGTAGACAATCTTGCTCTGGATGTAGTCCTGGACTTTGTTGACTAAAAAACGCTGGCCCACATTTATCACTTTGATGAAAGAAAGATCCCTAGGACAGGGAAGGAAAACAAAACTTCTAGGGTAAAACAATCTGAGAATAAGTAAGGTGGGGGAGGGGAACTGGGTAGGGTGGTATACACCTGAACTGTGCCATACAATGGGTAAGGCAAACAGAACTCAGGCTTCCCATAAGACACTAGATCAGGTGACCTAAAGAGTTTGTTAAGCCTCAAAGTTGATGAGAAGCACAGTCCCCCTCTGGGGTGGTAAGAATATGGTGCCACCAAAAATGAGAGGAGGGGAGGAGAGCAAAATAATAGGCAGAGAAACCTACCCACGCCTTCCATCTACCTAATCAAGCCTCTCTCAAAGCCACTGCTAAAAATGGCCTGCTTGGTGGCCATCACAAGATTTTTCTCAATATAAAAGTAATAGGGCTTATTTTAAAAATTAAGAAAAAATAGAGTGATGTGGGGCATGGCAGTGCTTATCTATAATCCCAGGGACTCAGGAGGCTGAGGCAAGAGGATCCCAAGTTCACGGTCAGCCTCAGCAACTTAGTGAAGCCCCAAGCAACTAAATAAGACTCTGTCTCAAAATAAAAAAAATAGAAAGGACCGAGGATGTAGCTCAGTGGTAGAGTGTCCCTGGGTTCAATCCCTAGTGCCAAAAATGATAGAAATCACCCAATATCCTACAACCAGAGATAAAAATCTATAAATATGTACACTTGTTCAAAACATTAAACAGACCTCTGCAGCAATTTGATGGTGTCCCAGGCACACTGGTCTCACCATTTGCTTGGCTGCAAGGCTGTACCCTTATTTGAATAGAGCCGTCAACTGCCCTGAATGCACACTCTTTCACAAGGAAACATTCCCCCAGGTTTCCATGTGTACACTATTTTTCTTCAACATGAACTTGACATTTTGGTATGGCTCCCATACCTTACATTTGGTGAGTTTATCTATATTCTTTTTCACCTCACCAATAGACATTGCTATAGTAATGATGGTTAATATCAATCAGATATTTCTAAGTCAGGAATGTTCTGAGGGCTTTACATGCATTTTATATGTGCAAAATATAATATGTACAATATTATATATGTGTTACATTACATGTGATATAAGCATATGTATTAACATACATATTACATATTTCATATTATATAATTCATATAATAAACATTTAAGATTGATAAAAAAATGATGACACATGTCCCAGGATGTCCTGTAACACCCCAGTTCAGAACTACTGATATGGAGTTGTTCTTAAGTGGGTTTGTTTCTCAGGGGACATTTCACAATGTCTTTATACATTTTTGGTTGTCACAGCTCGAAGATGTTACTGGCATCTAGTCAGCAGAGGCCCAGGATGTAGCTAAATATCTTACAATGGATAGGACAGACACCACAACAAAAAATTATCCCATTCACAATGTCAGTAATGCTGAGATGCAAAAAATTTTGCTCTAGAGAATAGAGAGGAAAAATTGATGATAAAAAAATGTCAGTGTTTAAAATGCAACTCACATAAAAGCCACAATCCATACCTTGTTTCTTAGGAATAATATAACGTTTACAAGTCTAGGAGGAAGTTAGGGGGCAGAGGGAGAAAGGCTCTTTTCCTAATGAGACCCCTTCTTCAGGGCCTTCTAACCATGGTCTTAAAACCTCACTTGTCATAGTTGTCTGGGTCAAGGGGTTGGTAGGTGACTTTGTAGCACTCAATCCTCTTCAGGAAGTCCTCCATCACATTCTCCCTGTCCCTTTCAGGGTAGTCAGGGCTTGACACCTTTACCTCCTGAAATCAAAGGAATAGTAAGGGTCTTGTCAGAGGTCTGCCCTTAACAGCCCTCCTACAAATAGCCACTGTTAAGAAAAGAAAAAGAGGTCCATAAAAGTAGCCTTTCACTGGAGTGGTGGCATTCTCCATTCATTGAGCATTCCCTCCCTAGTCCTGTGACCCTGGCAACCAAGAAGGGAAAGACAACAGGGGAGTCATGTGCCTGCCCTTGGCTGAAGGACAGAGGCAGTCACGCAGCTGACACTGCTCCTGGGCCCAATCCCTTTATGTACTTTCCTGGGAAAATGGAATGGACTCTAATTTTCTCCCACTGCCACTCAGAAGAGGCCCAGTGTGGCCCAGTGCCTGACTTGGGACCCAGTGCCTCTCCCTCAGATGACCCCAGTTCTGACATTGCTGGGAAAGCATGTCAGATGATGACTTGGCACAGCACGACACAACCCATTGGATAAGGACTGTCTTGTGCTGTGACCCCACAGGGCACAGGGCACGAGGAGCTAGGTGTATAGAATGCTGACCAGAATGTGAGATAATTTCAGGGTAGATGACATTCCTGTAAGGTGGCCCTAACAGATAATAAAAAGTCTGATCTAAGATAATATCTAGGTCTCAGAACCCAGATAATAACAGAACACAAGCCAGGACTCGCACAGTCTAAGACTTGGTCTCTTTTCAGCAGCTAATGCTTATTTTATTCCGCAAAGCCTATTTTTTCTCCCTAAGGAACAATATGGAAATACAAAATTGCACTTCTCTCTGACAGAGAAAAGAGATCATTCTGTGACATTTAACACTTCTATTTTCTCTATCACTACCCTTCCTCATACATACACACATATATACACAGGCCACAAAGGTGAGAAAGAGGTGAAACATAGGGGTGTCACCCACCAGGATATTGGCAGCGATGACATCAGGATCATCACAAACAGATTCCACAAAGAATACCTGGCCACGGAGAGAAGGCAGTTATAAACAAGCCAAAAATACCAAGCTGTTAATTAAGAGCACATGCTCCTACCCCACCCAGCCACCACATCTCCCAGGATTTTCTTCATGAAAATCCTTCAAGGCCTCCTCATTTTAAAATAGCTCTTACCACATCCCCTGGGACTCAAACATACAGGCTAAAGGTCTGAGAAAGGACCTGAAAGAAAACACTCAAGGATCGGGGGTATACTCAAGAGAAGAGAATCAGATACCCAATCCCATCCTCACCAGAGTCAAACAGATTCATACCCCATCCTAAGGCCCCGCCTCTACTCATCCCTTTAATCTACCATGGAGTCAGAGCCTACCTTGAAGGAATTCTCCTCGGCAAAGTTCAAAATCATTTTTCTCCTCTCCCGGGTAGTATTGGTGGCATCAAATACCTGGGCATAAAACACATGAGGTAAATGAATGGAGACAGAGAAATGGAGCCCCACACCAAGGCAAACCCAAGGTGGGACTGAGAGCTCAGTTGCTGACAGGGTGGAAACCACAGAGCTCACCGCAATCTGCCCGTTCTCCTCAGTCAGATAGGTCTTAACGTCTTCCAGGGCCACCATGGCACAATGTCTGCCATGAGAGCAAAGAAAATCAGCAAGAAGAGCTAGGCTCAAACACAGTGGAGGACCCAAACAGTGGGATTGCTGCAGGAATCTCATCCCCTCTCACTTAGTTTCTCTCTGGTCAAATTGTTTCCTTAATTTGATCTTTTTCCCCCTACTTAAGTTGGTTTTTTTTTCTTTTTGGTGGGGGGTATTGGGGATTGAATCAAGGGGTGCTTTACCACTGGGCTAAGTTCTCAGCCCTTTTTAAATGTTGAGCCAGGGTCTTGCTAAGTTGCTTAGGGCCCAGGGCTTTGCTAAATTGCTGAAGCTGGCTTTCAATTTGCCATCCTCCTGCCTGGGTCTCGAGTCCCAGGTATGACAGGCATGTGACACCATGCCTGGCTCCTTTTAAATTTTTATATCATCTTATACTTTCCTTTGTGCCCCAACACATGTATTCTCTTGCTAGGCACAGCCTACAACTATCTCCCTGAAACCTGTTTTTCCCAACAAGCCCAAGGTGATCTGCCTATCAGATAACTTCCACTTAAAATACCCACAAGATACTTATTGAGAAGAAACAAGCCCCATTACATTCAGTCTCATGATGGCCCAGAAAGAGTTGACCTGGGAGTCAGTTCTTAAAAAAAAAGACTCACTTGCGGATCTTCATGGCCTCTTTGTTGTCATGCCGAAAGAAGTCGTAGGACTTATAGGACTTGACGGCTTGACGTCGATAAACCCCAAGATTGAACACTGCAGAAGACACCCAAATCCTTCAGCAGCAAATCAGTATCATCGCCCCACCAAAGAGGACATTGGCCTAATGTCAGAGTAGCCAAGGAGTTGAAAATAAAAAGTACCATGGTATGTTGGAGACAATATGATATTAAGAGTCAAAACAGTTGGGTTCAGGTCCTGATTTAGGAGATCTTGGGACAAGTCTTAAGCTGTCTGAATTTCAGCTTTCTGTGTTTCTCTGTCTATTTCACAAAGATACTTCTAGGGTTAGATAACATAATGCATGTGCAAGGATTTCACAAAAGGAAAGTCCTATTCTCACTGAATTCTTAATAAACCTATCAAAGGCTTTCTCTCAAAACTGGGCCAATTCATCCAGGCCAGGAGGAGACAAGTCCAGGGAAAGAGAATCCAATAAATGAGAAAGCAACCACTATTTCTCCCAGAAGCACCCAATAACCTTAATGCCTTAAGAGAGCCTAAGTCTCCCAGAGCTGAGTGAGGCCCAGGAACTAATCATTGACTTCCCAAGGAATGACTTGCACCTACCTTTGGTAGGCACCCCAATCCAGTTGAGGTAGCGTGTAAGCTTCTTAGACACATAGGTTTTACCCCGGGCTGGCAAACCAATCATGACAATAAGAGTTGGGGAGTTGGTCATGTAGGAGGCCCATGCTAGAAGGAAATGAGAAAAATAGAACTAAATGAGTATAGGCCCATAAGGTTTATGCACTGGTCTAGAAAATTCAGTCATATTCTTTGTTTGTTTGTTTTGGTAATGAGGATTGAACCCAGGAGTGTTTTTTGTCACAGAGCTATATCGCCAGTTCTTTTTTATTTTGAGATAGGGTCTTGCTAAGTTGATCAGAGTCTCACTAAATTGCTGAGGCTGGCCTCAAACTTGTGACCCTTCTGCCTCAATCTCCAGAGTAGGTGGGATTACAGGTATGTGTCACCATGCCCAGCTCATAATCTTATTTAATCATCCTAAACTTGTGGGGCAAAGGTCCAGGAGGAGTGGGAAGGCAAAGTAAGAATATATTGAGCAGATCCTCCTGAAATAAAGTTAAAGGGTCACACTGATTTCCAGAAAGTACCCAAACCAAGGAAATGTCTTTCCCATATTCCTAAGGTTTTCATAGAAATATCTGAAGTAGAGAGTAACCACAGCACCCTTCTTAACATGAGACTGCCTAGCAACATAAAAATGATAGAGCTGTGATTTTACCAATGCCCAACTAGCAGGCTTTTAGAACAGAGTTTCTATCTTGAGGATCCCATCCATTCCCTAAGGCAAACATTAGCCTGCCAACTGCTCACCTGCCTGTTTTATCCTCCTTAAACTGAAATTTCTAAGTGAGATTTGGTAGGAAAAGCCTACTGGATACAAGTTTGAAGAGACCTCTGGAAGCTTCATGGTAGAGCCAATTCACTGGGCATCTGGGTCAGCCTGACTCAGATGCAAGACAATTGAAAAGCACGACAATTGAAAAGCAGGAACAATCCTTTCTTAGTAAATTAACTTATTTCATGAAAGAACTTATGTTCATTTACAGAGAAAAGTCTCACTATATAGGTGGGGCATTTTAAATGCTCAGAGGTCAGGTGACTCGCCTAAGGACACATAATGAGTCAAGGGTAGAGCTGGCACGGGAATCCAGATCCTGTGCTCCCTCTTCAGCTTTTCTCCATAAAAAGAGGCCCCTCCTTAGCTTGCTCACAGGTCATACTCTTCCCCGCCCATCCTGCCACAGAGGAGAGCTGGGAGGAACCTGTACTGCTGCAGCCCCTTTCCTGGGGCTAAGACCCAATCTGAGGTCTTGGGGAGGGGGAGGCCTCAAGCTCTTCCGCTCAGATGGGAAAAGACTCTGAACCAACCGTGGCAGGAAATGGAAATTTCTGCTTCCCAGCATGACTTTCCAGAAGGGTCCCTGCAAGTTGTGGCTGCTTCTTTACAAGAACAAGATGATCCTATCACGCTAAGAAACTATTCAGTAAAATAGGGGCATTTGCTTAGGAAATGCATCTTTCACCTTTGTTGAAAGAACTGGTAAAAGATTTCAACTGAGAAGTAGGTAGAAGGACCCAGGAAAAGAAATGACCATGGAAACAAGAGTGTTTAGCAAGAAATACTAGGCAGCCAAAGTGGCCTGTGGGGGGGGGGGGTACGCCCAGACTCTGCACCCACAGGTTGGGTTTTTAGCCCTTTCTCTTCTGGGCGAGTCAAAATTCCTGACTCTAGGCAGGAGTATCCCTCCACGAAGGTAATGGAGCAGCTAAGGTGATTTTCATCTCTGTCCAAACAGGGAGCCCAAAGGTAAGCAAACAGCTGACCCCTGACAAGCATATGTACTCTGCCTGGCATTAGCTACCGCAGGTTCAAGTAGTCAAATCCCCTGGGTCTTCACTTTCTCCAACTGAGTGCACACTCTTCTCAATCCCCCCTGACTTGGTTCATTAACTGCGTTTCCAGAATTGCTTCGTCCACACCTTCCAGCCCATTAGGCTCTTCCCCCAAAGGTCCTGTTAGCCTCCCCAAAGCTTAAAATGGTCTGATACTTACCAGGGACTCAGAAGGCAACCAGGGAGCCAGCTGCTCATTGTTTATCAGGCTGGACAGAAAATACTAAGAACAAAAGAACACAGTCCCCCAGGGACCCTACACCCTGCCCTCAGCACCTCCCCTTCTGCCTTGGCTCAGAACACACTCACACATCTACTATAGCCTGGACTTCTCCCTTCCAGACTAAAATATAAAACCACACTTCCTAGCTCAGACTGCCACAGTGGCAGAAGGAGGAACATTCTGTTCTGTATGTTAAAAAAACAAATCACCCCACACAACTTTACATTTGAATGGAAGTTACTTCACATTGCAGGGACACTGTAATGCCATCTCTTGACAGACAGTGGAAACCTGTCTCATTCCTGAAATTCTCATCTGTCTCCATTATACAGTTGAACTTGGTTTTTTAATTGTAAACTCATTTTCTCTTCCTAAGCATGCTTAGAAAAGATGAAGGTTATCTTGATGACTTCCCTCATATACAAAGAAAAACTCAAGCCCAGAGAAGTTGAAGCACTGCCCCCAGTTCCATAATACAGAGTCAAGGTCAAGGCTCTTGACCAGACTCAAGGTCTCACAACTTCCCATTTAGTCCCAGCTCCTGGGCCTCCTGTCAGTACTTAACCCAGCACAGTAACCATAACTATTCTCTCCATCCTAACCTAGAAGAATGATCTGGAGAGCAAGGGTTCCTATCCTTTCCATGGTCAAGGTCTTCTTCCAGCATTCACTCTAAATGGGCCCATAAAGCTTGCTTCATTAGTAATATCTAATTTTTATTCATCAGAAGTAAAAAAAAAAACTGATTATCTCCTGTTATTTTACTGATGGGCATAAAAAGCCAAGTTATATGCAGCCAAATAATAAGGAAACTGATGTTTTAGTCAACCAGTGCAGCTATAGATGATCGTGTCCAACTTCCATTAAGTATCTTGAAATACTGGAAGCAGCTTACAAAACTGAATTTCCTTAGAGAGCAAATTAGTAACACTTATCAATAATAGCTACAATGTGTCTGCCATTTCTCCTATTATTTCAGTAGGAAAAGTTTCTGACACAAATGCACAAAGGTATAAGGATGCTCACTGAAGCATTCTTTGTGATAGTAGAAAAGTTGAAGATAATTTACATATCCCTACAATGGAGAATGAGGCGAATCTGGACTTAACAACATGGAAAAGATTCTGCAATATAGTAATTTTTATTTATTAAAAGGAAATGACAGCAGAACAGAATATATACAGTATGAACCTATTTTAATAGGATGTGCCAGAATAGGATGTCTACAAGAACAGCAGGGATGGGAGCGATTCTAAAAGACTTTTACTTTTCACTTTCTTTCTGTGTTGTCTGGATTATTCATGAACATGGATTGCTTTTTTACTTAGGGAAAGGTTCATGTATAAATTTGTCTGCTCCAGATCTACTCAAGATATCAAAAACCTAAAAGAATCAACAGCAACAAATGTAGATTCCCCTATTCCTGTTTTCAGAAAACCATGAAAGCAGAAATTGTGGGGAGGGGTACAAGAAAGCAGCCATTAAACATTTTAAAAGGATCTCAACCAGCAGTCCCTTTGAATCACCATTCCTGGAGCAGAAGTCCCAATAATGCTCCTTTGGAGGTTCTGGCTCCCTGAAATCATTCTTCAGCCTCAATTTCAGTCCTCAAGACCAGTCACTTCCCAGACTCAAGTTCAGCCAGCACAAGTATAATTAACAGCAAGGGGACAACAGTGGAGATAGTGATAAAGCAACTGCTGGTACGAATGTTAAGCAGCCAAGGAACCTGAAGCAAGGTATGTTCTGCTTCTGAATTTACCAACATGGAAAGATGTCCATAATACAGTAAGTTTGTTAAAAAGGATGTGGTGGCAGAACAGAATACTTATGATATGAACTTACTTTCATTAATAGAATACACCAGAATAAGATGTCTAAAAGAATCAAACTTACATATGTCTCTGTACATAGCAAAGGAAAAGGGAAAAAAAAAAAACTAATGCATAGTCTCATAACGGTGTATTCTACTCTCTTGATTGTGAGTGCCACAGTCTCACAGTCCAACTGGGAGGTAAAGAACATGGTATACATCATGAATGACCATGGCTTTAGGACAACCCAGAGACCTCTCCTTGGGGAGAAAAAGCAGTTTGGAGAAGAAAATAGAGCTTGAAAAGAGAAATTAAGAACCCAGAGCAGAAATGAGAACCTAGAAAACATAAAAGAAACCTGGGATTACTGCTTCCTTAATTAAAAGCCCTTAAAGCAGAAAAATTGCAGGAGAGGTAGGAAGGCAGGTAGGAAAGCCTGCTCGTGTGCAGAATCAGGCAGAGCCAGGAATGACACTGGGTGTCCTATGTAGTCAGAAATACCATGGTTTCCGGGCACAGTGGTGCATGCCTGTAATCCCAGAAGCTCAGGAGGTTGAGGCAGGAGGATAGAGAGTTCAGGCCAGCCTCAACAATTTAGGAAGGCCTTAAGCAACTCAATGAGACTTCGTCTCTAAATAAAATACAAAAAAGAGCTGAAGATGATAAGGGGTAGGGATATAGCTCAGCGCTCCTGAGTTCAATCCCTGGTACTGGAAAAAAAAGAAAGAAAGAAAAAAGAAAAGAAAGAAAGAAATACCCACAGTTATCAGCTCTGAATTCAGCTCTCTACTCCCATCCTAGCTCTCTACTGAGGAGTGAACCCAGAGGTGCTTTACCACTGAGCTATATCCCTAGCCCTTTTTATTTTGACCAGGGTCTCACTAAATTGCTAAGGCTGGGATTATAGGCATGCAAAACCACAACTGGTTTCCACTCTCCTTTGAATCAAGCATCGCAGTAACATGAGTGTACTCCCTTTAAGAAGTACATCCTAAACCAGGCATGGTGGTGCATTGCCTGTAATCCCAGCTGCTTGGGAAGCTGAGGCAAGAAGATTGCAAGTTCAAAACTAGCTTCAGCAACTTAGCAAGGCCCTAAGCAACTTTGCAAGACTCTGTCTCTAATAAAATACAAAAAGAGGGTGGAGATGTGGCTCAGTGGTTAAGTGCCCCTGGGTTCCCCTGGTACAAGAAAAAGAAAAAGTACATCCTAGACCACCAAATCTGAGTTACAATATTGTCAAACAAGATAAGAAAGCATTCTTTGCTGAAAAAAATAATTCTTCACAGGGCTGTTTTTAAGTAGTGAGCCCCCAGCTCACCATTTGAATATAATTTTATTTATACACAATGTTTCAAAAGAATAAATCCAGGGGGTGGGCTGTAGCTCACTGGCAAAATGCTTGCCTAGCACCTGTGAGGCACTGGGTTCCATGCTTAGCACCACACAAATGAAATTAAGACATTCTGTCCATGCATAACTACAAATTTTTTTAAAAAGAGTAAGTCCAAGAGGATGATAGTTACCTGTGAAAAATAATACATTAGCTATGTCCAAAATTCTTCTATATTTGTGCTTTCCTAAATTTGCTCATTTAATCCTCACATCACTCTTTGGGAGGATATTATTGATACTCCCATTTTGAAAAGGAGTAAACTGAGGCATGGAAAGAGAAAGCAACTTATTCAAGGACACACAGCTAAGAAAGAATAAAACCAGGATTCAAACTCAGGCAGTATGACATTGACACTAGAGGTTACACTTAAGAACCATGCTATATTAGTTATCTCTCCTGGGGCATTTTGCCCTTGGCACATGGCTTCCTGCCCTGGCAGAGAAAGGAGACCCTAATCACAGAGGTGTGCTAACTTCAGTATCACATCCAAACCAGCTGCTTCTGTCCAGCAGGTCTCATGGGTGACTGGGGAAGAGATAGTATCATTTTAATCATGAAACTGACAAGAGCTTGACATCAAAGTAAAGGCTCTAGGGAAAGATTTGAACAAGAGACAATTCCCTGGTCTCCTGCTGGTCGGCTGTTTGCACCTGCTGACATATATAACCACTGAAGTGAGAAAAACTGACTGATAGGGTTCCAAAGGAAAGGTGCAATCTGGAAGCAGAGAACAGAGTTAGCATTCCTTGAGGTTTCCAGAAACATCTTGGGACTTAAAGTTCCAGACTTCTGAGCAGCTATGCAGTCTATAAAATGCTAAGGAATATAGATGACAAGGGACAGGAAGTGATGCTTCATCCCCTTGCAGCCCCTCCTGCTATCTCTATCTAAAAGACTGACATGGAAATGTTCCTGAGTAATAGTTTGCAAAGTACAATAGCTAAACCTGGAAGAAGGTAAAGTGCCCAAGACACCATGAGAAATCACTTGTCAGGGCTCATTTTCCTGAGGCCTAAAGGAGTGACACAAAGTAACACTGGCTCCTACCTGGAGTTTCTATAGTGAGCAGCACCCACTTGGAACTTAGCCCAACAGATGAGAGATGGTAGCAGCCCCAAGTAATTCCTACAACTTACCACTCTTATTCACTGTTTGGACAATGCTTGCTCCAACTTCCAGCATTAAGCAAGTGTACAGATGTTCGAAAAGAAAGAAGAAACCACTGGGCCACACCAGCAATCTAGCTGGAAGGACAGAATCTACTTGTTTCAGACAGGAAATTGCCCTATGAAAATTTTGTTTTGAATTTCCAACATCAAAGAATTGTTTCTCACTCCCACTAAGCAGTAGAGTCTAATATTACAACTATATTCCCAACAACTGTATTTTTTAGAACTCACAACATTTCTTATCTGTCGTTCGAAGATTAGCAGTCTTGGGTTCATATCTGTTCTTGTTCTGTACTGGGGAAGATGTAGAATTCTCAGACATGGTAGCTCTTCAGGAGGCACCTGGAAGGGAGAAAAAGAATGCAAAGGAAGGGAAGGAAGAACATGTCCCTCACTCAGTGCAGAGGATCAGTGTGGAATAAGTAAAAGAACACTAGGCCAAAACCAAGTCTATTCCTGTTTCTCCCAGTTAACAGTTACCTGTCACAAATATCTTCCATCCTCTGTTTCCTGTTCTATAAGAGAGTTAAACTGGAACTTTGTATTTATTTGCTGAGTGAGGAGCTTACATTTACATACCTTATTTCCTAAATGCTTTCCAAAAACCCTCTAATAAGGCAGATTTTATTACCACTATTGCTTCTTTCCATTTTACAGATCGAAAAATTGAGGTAAAATCAAATTAAGTGGCTTGTGCAAGTTTCCTCCTGCCTCAGATTCTAGTTTTAACACTAGGGAGAAAAGTAGTGGGAATTGGGAGTAGGTGGGAATGAGAATAGATCAAACTCATTATCAAGAAAGTAATTCCATTCCAAAGGTAAGACTCTGACTTGGGGGGTGAGGGGAAGGGATGAGCATGAGGGAAAATCTCAAACACGTTTCCTGAAGGAAAACATGTAACTGGACCCTGAGACAGCCATAGCATATCCCAAGTTCTCCTCTGGTGTTCTTCTCAAGCCTTGCTCTGTACTGTCTCCCTATTTATCTCCTGGGACTCAATGTAAAGATGAAACCTGACGTGCAAAGGTGGTAAATGACTTCCCCAAGGTTACCTGCAAAATAAAATTTAAATCCTGATATGAACTAGGGTGGGAGAGCCCAAACCCAGAAACCAAGGGGGCTCGTGATACATGGGGTCCTATGCCCTTGCGCTATTCCTTCAATGAAGGTAAAAAATCCTCAACCCAACAGCAGCTGGGGCCGCTCGGGATCCTTATAGATCTGCACTCCAGACTGTGCCCTGCGGCCGGCACTTCCCGAAAGGGCGAGGCATCTCTACCCAGCACCGCATCCCGGCGCACTCAGACCCCTCATCCCGCCCGCTTAGACACTTGCAGGTGTTGCGTAGCTGTCGCTCACCCTACGATCTCTTCTAAGATCCCCTCCCGGCTGCGACACTGGCGCTTCCCTAGTAACGTTGCAGACACGAGCTGACAGACTGTGGCTAGGGGCCCGGCACCCCAGTCTCCGACAAATCACGTGGCTCAGCCTGGCTCCGCCCACTCGCGCGTCAACGCTCACCTGGAGAGAATCATCAACCAATCGAGAACTTGCAGGACCTAGTGGGCGGGGCTCCAGGCGGAATCGCGGTCCCTGGCTCCAGAAGGAAGATGGATCTGTGAAGGAGAAAGACCGCAGCTCCTAAGTCTCCCAGCGCTGCGGAGGTTGGTTGCGTCGTTGCTTGGTAACTAATAAGGCTGGGGGCGGGGCTAATTAAAAGACTTTTTTTCATATTATCGCGAGAGCGGAATACTAAGGAGACGTCTTGAGAGGGTGTGACTTTATGGTGGAAACGTTGAGAATATTAACGCTTTCATTCCTGAGTCCTAGACCTCGTTAAGATCCATGAATTGGGACGTAAGCTTTAAAAGGTGCTTCGCTAGCTGCCACAGGTACTTGAGCTGATTACTCGTAGTGTTTGTATAACCTTCCCACCCATAGGTCAGACACTAAAATCTAAGTCAGCTGCGCTCTTAATCAATAACTCACCCTCCTTTTCTCCCCACCCTATATCATCTGCGATGGTAAGTAATCTTGAAGAACAAAGGGGAAAACTGCACTAGCAAAACAACTGGAGAGGGAGGCTGGGGATATAGCTCAGAGGTAAGAGCGCTTGCCTAGCATGCTCAAAGCCCTGGGTGCCATCCCCAGAACTACAGAAAAAGGAAACTTGAGTCGGAAAAGATAAGAAAAGACGCAAAGATTTCATGAAATTTATTCACAGATGGAAGCTTTTAATGGAGTTTGCACATTCCAAGTGAACTACACTTTTCATAGTTTCCCCAGCGGGCCTTTTGATGTTTGATTCTATCTATAAATCCCCTCTAAAAAGGGTGGGACTTTTGCTGTGGATCCAGAATGGAAAAAAGAACAATGATTTCTTGAAAAATGGATACATTCAGGAACTTATTTATTTCTCCTTTGCCGAGAATTTTTCATCATTCAAAACAGTTCAAATATGTAGTTACAGACTCTTTGAGGTGTTCTACAACTCTCAGCGTGTTATTGTTGCCCTACAAACTGTCTTTATCCATCCAGAGAGTAGTTATTGAACACTTTATATTTTCAAGACACAGTCTTAGGTTCCAGGCACACAAGGTTGAAAATGGCCACAAAACTAGCATTAACCACGTTGCTATGAAATTCAGCGGTTATGTTTCTTATGCCTTCTCTTCTCTCTGGACTACAGTAAGTACTTATACTGAAGGCAGGAATGAAGTCTTCATATTTGTACACCCAGGAATTGAACTGGAATTCGGATGACAAGCCTTAGTCTTCTGCATTCCTCCTTATACTGCCTCTACCTGAATGAGGCAATCGTCCTAGGCTCAGATGCTGACCTCATACTGCGCTTTCTGAGGTGGCAAATAGACGTTTTCAAGTTTCAGTCCCACGGAGGTGGAAAGGCCACTGGTCCCGCCCCCTTAACCCCAATGAGTCAATGTTTGGTGCAGCCACGAGTCTAGTCACGAGTCTCATTGTTTTTGGCAGAGCCTTTGACTCACTGACCAATCTTGGCATTCATTTGCGTTCTTATCATTCTGATTCTCCTGGTGTAGTTTGAGAGTCCCGATTTAATAATTTCCGACCTGGGTGCAAGGTTACATTCCACTCTACTGGATTCAGGAACTCCTTCCCCCGCCCTCTTCGCTTGAGCATATATGCTACCGACGCGGGCGGCAACTCACTCTCTGTACAGGTAGCAAGAACAGCTGTACTTTAAGAATACCGACAAATTTATCCTTCGGCTCTTGGGAGCGGGCGGAGAAATTAGTTATCGCTTTAAGAGAGTTAGCTCTTTAATAGGAGTACTAAGGCAGAGGCCGAAGCAAAGTGTCGCGAGAACTGTAACACCGGCAACATCTCGCGATGTTTGGCCCCGCAAAAGGTGGCCATTTTGGAGTCCACTCCGCGGCTGGTTGCCCCGGCGGCGTCTCCCAACCGGCTGGCGGGACCAAAGCTGGCCCTGCGGGTGTCTGGCCTGTGGGCGGCCGCGCCGACACAATGTGGCGGCTCCGCTGCAAGGCCAAGGATGGCACCCATGTTTTGCAGGGACTGTCCAGCCGAACCCGGTTGCGAGAACTCCAGGGCCAAATTGCCGCCATCACCGGGATCGCTCCCGGCGATCAGCGAATCCTTGTCGGATACCCGCCCGAATGCCTGGATCTCAGCAACGGGGATACCACTCTGGGGGACTTGCCCATCCAGTCAGGTAAGGGAATCGGGGCAGGGGCCTGAGGAAGTCCTGGAAGGACGTTGAGGGTAGAAGTGAGAACCAGCAAGGCTAGGCAGCAGTGGGTCAGCTGGGGGCTTTGAGGCCAGGGGAGAGGCTAGATCAAAGAAGAGAGAACTTGACAGAGGCAGGGCAAGTGTCTAACAACTCCTTTGTTTACACACGCTTGAGAGAAAAGCCGAAAGCCTAAGAGTCCCTCTTCCCCAACCTGCTTTCAGATCAACCTGGAAACAAACTCGTTCATTTTATTTTCTTTGCATTCACAAAATTATAAAAATATAGGACCTATTTTCTTTGCCTAGTGCGTTTCCCCCCTCTACCCCCAGTATCTGAATGTTGCATCATACTTTATTTCCTTTCCTGATTTCTTCTTGCAGTCCCCTTCTTATATAGTTCGACAGATATATTACTCATTTTCGAATTAACTTTTTAAAATATTCATTAAAAGCCCTTTGAAGTTCTAACCAACAGCAGTTAATTTTTGCTCAGTATTAAAACTTGAACATCAACATTGACAATTAAAAGCTTTCCGTCGTTCTGTCAAGAACTCTGTAAACACTAAATAAGGTAGATATGTTAAATTTCAGAAGGAGGAGAACCCCCTAGTGGCCTAGTCTGTGGTGAACATCTTCTGGAATGTTTGTGCTTTTAAATGCAGACAGCAAGTAAGAAAAGTTTGTTTTCAAAATATATCTTTTTAAGTATGTATAAAGGGATATACTCCAAGCCAATTCACTAAATTGGGATGCAATCTGAAGTGTTTTGTTTTCTTTTGTTTTCATCTTTATGAAGAGTCAGTGAACAAATGTTTATAAAGTTGTATTCTTTGGTGGGTAGGTACTGTGGATTGAATTCTGGAGCACTCAACCACTGAGCCACATCCCCAGCCCTATTTTGTATTTTTTAATTTTAGAGACAGGGTCTCACTGAGTTGCTCAGTGCCTTACTGTTGCTGAGGCTGGCTTTGAATTCCCAGTCTTCCTGCCTCAGCCTCCCTCCACTATACGCTTTAACTCCTGTTTGTAATTTAATTTCGTCTATAATTCACGCAGTTCTGGATTTGTTTTATTTTTAACAGGCGACATGCTGATCGTTGAAGAAGAACAATCCAGACCCCAAACTTCACCTTCATATACAAAACATGGTGCTCCTAGTTATGTCAGGGAAACTTTGCCTGTGCTTACCAGAACTGTGGTCCCAGCGGACAACTCTTGCCTCTTTACCAGTGTATACTATGTCGTTGAAGGTGGAGTCTTGAATCCAGCTTGTGCCCCTGAGATGAGACGTCTTATAGCACAAATTGTAGCAAGTGATCCAGACTTATATAGTGAGGCAATACTGGGAAAAACAAATCAAGAGTACTGTGACTGGATCAAAAGGGATGATACTTGGGGGGGAGCAATTGAGATATCAATTTTGTCTAAGTTTTATCAATGTGAAATATGTGTAGTAGATACACAAACAGTAAGAATTGATCGTTTTGGAGAAGATGCAGGATATACCAAAAGGGTTCTACTGATCTATGATGGCATCCACTATGATCCGCTTCAGCGTAACTTCCCTGATCCAGATACCCCTCCTTTGACCATTTTCTCCTCTAATGATGATATTGTCCTTGTACAAGCACTGGAACTAGCAGATGAAGCTAGAAGAATGAGACAATTTACTGATGTAAACCGCTTCACCCTGAGATGTATGGTGTGTCAAAAAGGATTAACTGGACAAGCAGAAGCAAGGGACCATGCCAAGGAGACAGGCCATACCAACTTTGGAGAAGTGTGATCTATGCATGATGAGGGTTGAAGCCTACTACCTCACAGATCCAGAAAGCTCTGGGTTTTCTAATAAGCTATTCTTAACCCTGAAGAACAAAGGACACAATGCTTGAACCATCCTTTTAACTTAAACCACTAAGACACTGAAATTCCTTGTTAAGATTAAAATTAGTGTGCAAGTTTACAGATGTGTGTCTACAGTGGTGATACATGCCCTCTTTCTGCTGGGGTGACAGAATAGGTGGTCCTCAGCCACTTGCTGACACTAACCTGAAGATTGGATTTTAGTATTACAAACTAGCATCCAGGAGCTTTAACTTGTAGAAGAAAACATCATATTTGAGGTAATGTGGAAGGCCTCATGTTAAGGCCACTGGACATGAACCACAGTGTCTCCAGTAATTGCTTCCTTTTAAAACTGAGTTAATAGTTTCTAAATTAAGAATTCATCAAATGAAGATACTCACAATTGTCAAAACTAATTTTATACTGCAATTTGTTAGACTTTGTAAGTGTGTACTTAACCACTTATAAGTACATAGCAAGCAATTTTTGCAGGGATAAGTCTATTCCTTGAGAATGTTATCTAAACAGGAATTGATTGGGTCCTGTTTAAGATTTCTAGTGTATAAAAGTAGAATGTATGAGGGAAAAGGTGCCTGAAGCAGCTTATTGAAGCTTTAAAAGACCATTGGCCTCATGTTTTAATGCAATTTATGTATTAGTGTTTGTCACATTGGACAAAATTTTAAAATTAAGCAGGGTATGCTATTTCAGTTAAAGTTCCTTAAAATTTGAGTGCTCGATTTTTGCTTTTTTTAAAAAAAAAAACAACATTTGCCTAAAGGGCTTTAATTTCCTCAGCCTTTTTGTTAAGAGCACTTCCTCCAAGAAAAAGTCTTCATCTAAAGTGATAATGTTATGCCTTGGTTTGGTTTTTATAAGATCTTTTGCATACCTACCTAGTGATTTGTGCTGCCAGTATCCCTCCACTAATGCTCTTTAGAATATTCCATGTTACAAATTAGCACTTGGCTTATCTTTCATATTTTACTTTGACTTTTGAACAGTTTTAAAGTAATTGGTGTAATACTATTGAATGAATTTGTTTCACTTCCAAAATATGAAAGTTTTTAAATCCTTGCCTTATTCAGCTTTCTGAATTCTGCTTCTTCCTAATATCAGATGTGTAGCCATTTGCTTGGTGGACTAATCCTCAAGGCACACCCTTTAAAACTTAGCTTCACCACAAGATCTTCCAGATAAAGTTTCCTACCTCTTAATTCTTTTGAAGATCAGGGATGCTAAATTATAATTTGTTATGTATTTTACAAATGTAAAGAGGCCTAATGTTGTGAAGTTTTGTTATCTTGTTTTCATTATTTATTCTCACGGAGAGAACCAGTGGATACTTTAAAGCACTTATAACTCCACATATCTTCTTGGCAGATGTTTTAAACTTGAGATTTACCTGTAGCGCTTTTACTTGGTGACAGTGGCCATGTAAAATAAAGGAACATAAAGGTGAACGATTTAGGAGGACAGTTCCTTGAAGGAACAATTCACAAAGTGTGCTTTAAATCATCAGATGACATTTCCTGAGTACCTTTTGTGTGCACTGCTGTTTTAGGCATTATAAGTTATTATGATCAGTGTAAGTTGAAAGTGTTTCATTTTCTTTTTTTACTGAGCCTTAAAAAATAATGCTCCTGAGCTTATGATACTTAATGTTCGGCAATCATCATATGAACAGATGAATATGATATGAAAATCTCTTCATACCTGTCTGTCATTGGGTCTAGATGGTTTTTGTAGCTCCTGTATTTCCCCCAGAAAATATTAAATTGAAAACTATAAATTAAGATTATACTACTGGGTAGCATCCATCATATGGAGCATTATTCATAAAATTTGCCTTCCTTTCTGTGCCACTTCAGGAGCCAAATTTGACCTTTGCTACTGAAATTTTAGATTTAGAAGTTTATTTGTGTGGCAAATATTGAGTAATTTATAATGTGCCTGGCATGTTTTGATGTTTCCCAGCATGCATTATTGTCACTTTAAAATTGAGAATATGTTATATACAGTGGGTTAATTTAAAACATGGAAGACATAGAACACTCATTTTAAAATTAAGCCCCTTCATTATAATTGTTGTTTACATATTGTCAGGTATTTATTTGGGGGTCTTATTCTATTTTATCTTTTACCTAGATTGTCCATTGACCAGGTAGACATTAATATTCAAATTGCTTTCAGAATTCACTTTTTAAGTTAATATTTTCTGAAATTCAGCACTAGTACTTTAGTTCTCTGATCATGGAAAAATTCAAGATGAGACACTATTTGCTGACAATATTTAAGAATTAAAAACTTAAACTGCGTATTCTAAACTAAAGCCTGAAAGCCTCACAGAATTTAAAGGGTTTTTTCCTCCTACTGCACTTAGTAAACTTTTTTTTTCTTGTGTGTGTGTGTGTGTGTGTGTGTGTGGTGCTGGGGATTGAACCCATGGCCTTGTGCATGTGAGGCAAGTACTCTACCAACTGAGCTACATCCCAGCCCTTATCTTGAGAATTTTGAAAGCTCTATGGATTTAGTACTTACAGCAGTATTAAACTGTGTCCCAAGTTTGCACTGGAGGAGCAGAATGAAATCCTTCTTCCTATTCAGTTTTTGCCTGTCATACAAGATTTTTTTTTAATTAAAATGAGACTCATTCTGCCACAGTTAATGGCAGAATGAATAGACTGCTTTCCCAACCTATTGCCTGTTCTTTCTTACTCTTCTGATTAAAGATCAGGTATAGTACTATGAAGATTCACTCATAGAGTGACTTCAGAAGTTGAAATTAATATCCACAAGAATTTTGTGTTAGTCATATGAAGACATTGGTATGTTACATGTTTTGCTAATTATTATGTCCCATGAATGAGAAATGGGCATAGTCAAGTGGTACCCTTGAAGCTTTGTCTGCTGGTCAGCTTGAACCTGTTACAAGCTATAAAGTCGTTCCATTGTTTCAAGAAGTTCAAGGCCCAGCAAAATCATTATCAGGAATTAATTTATTTATTTATGCCCCTAAGTGCCCACACCTAACTTTTTAGGTTATTTCTTCTGTCCTGTGTAGAGATTAAAATAAGGGTGTTTCAATGTACCCTGGCTAATCATAATTTTTTATCTTTTTGAAAAAATTACAGTGGG